ACGCGCATTCAACCTTGTTGTACCCCTTTAATTTAACCCCACAGTTGTACTATCACACATATTACGTACATTATTTAGTTTGTTTTTGTTTCATACATTTATGGCAGTATCCTCTCTCGTTGAAGACCGACATTGTATGTAATGCTTAGCCGGCTATCTATGAACCTATTTTGGGTGTAGTTTGGAAGTTTACCTCACTTAACCCACAGCAGCTCAAAGCTGTCTTTGTTTTCTCACCAGTGTGAGCTTTCTTTTTCAGATCTACCTCAGTCATACTGCTGTTCCAAGCACTAGTATATAGTACCAATACATGACACCAACCACTGGAGTCTAATACCCTACTTCACTGAATTCCCTCCGTCCTTCCTTTTGTACACTCAAATGTCAATAACGGAAGGCCATTAGTTTGTGACTGTGTATGTCTTGAAGTGGAAGAAGGCTAACTGCGCTGTTGTTTTGAATAGTCACAGTATTAGTGTATCAGTTCAGTTTGATTTCCTGAGTCTTTGTTAACGTTAGCAGAAGGGCATCATTCTTTCATTCGCTTTACCTGAAATCCAAGTGAAAAGAAGTTTACAGATCTTGCAGAAATAGATTTTTAGGCCACATGTAGTTCTGATTCAGATGTGCAGATGTGCCCAGACCACAATTATTTAAAGGGGCGCTGCAATATATTTCAGCGTCATTGTTTTGGTAGAATTCACAAATCCTGACAGCTAGCACGATCACTGATCTCTAGGCTAATAAATACAAGCACACAACTGCTAAAAAGTTTGAAATCATTGTTGATGATAATATAAAAACAATTTAATTGCAAATACATGTATAAAATGGTTCTACTGTGGTGATAGTATAACTTAAGTATAAGTTTAGATGTGTCCAGAATAGGAATGCAAATTATTAACCATAAGCTGAAAAATAAACTGCTGTATGACCGGTTTAAAAAAACATTTAATTTAATTTTGTTAACAAATTTTAAAGAGCACGATAACAGTAAAATATTTTTAGCACACAGATACAAATAGTGGCATTCAGGACAAAAGCACAACCACAACTGTGTACCACATCAAAAGCAAGCATCTGCAAGCGACTAAGTCGTCCATGTCCTCAGACAGAAAGTGTGATGCATAATGTGGTGTCAGGAAATTACACGTGGGTGTGTAAAATTATAGAGAAGGATGTGGGGACAGTGATGGCTTTCAACAGCTACTGAGGTACACTGAGACTAAGTAGAGTTTCAACAGCTACTGAGGTACACTGAGACTAAGTAGAGTTTCAGCAGCTACTGAGGTACACTGAGACTAAGTAGAGTTTCAACAGCTACTGAGGTACACTGAGACTAAGTAGAGTTTCAGCAGCTACTGAGGTACACTGAGACTGAGAGTGCTAGCCTCGGTCATGTACCTCTGGCTAATAATTAAAGGCTAATAGAACTTTAGAATACAGAGTTTTCAGTAGCTCATTATTGTGTTTTCCAGTTATTTCATTAATGTTTTAGTATTCAGTAATCTAATTAGTAACATGTAATATGTTGTCACCCCCTTAGTTTAAACAGATTCTTACAGAGAGGGCATGTTTAATAGTTTAGGGCCTTTTACTTAATATAGATGCTGATTACCACAAATACTGTGTTCCATGGGCCATAGGAACTCTTTTTAATATCTGTGTGTTAATACAGAATTCAGTTAATGTATGCACTTATAAGTATGTGTAAATTAAAGCAGTAAGCCACAAGAGGCTGTGTGTTACAGTGACTTTATCGCTCTGTTCTGTGTCATTCCTAATAACACCTTTAGCCATGATAAAATCACTGTAACGAACAGCCACACGTGAATTGCATTTATAAAACACTAGACACTATACAATATGATAACCTGCACAATTTTTCCATATATAAGTTATTATTAATAATAGAGATAATAATTCTGCAAAGAACTGTAGTTCCCTTTAGAGTATGTTATTGTTGTCAAGCAACCATTGACAGCTGGAAGAGGATAAGAATGCTCAGTCGCCCATCATTGGGTATTGCAGTGATTTTATGAACTTTTCAACTTTTTGTTATACGATAAAAAAAAAAATGAAAAGACCTTCACTTTATAAGTAGTTTTTGCTCACCAGATTGCCACTTGAAGGACTATACTAATTTCCATTAGCACCTATATGCTTTTTCCAGTCTTATTTAGCAACAAGCTAACGTTGTTATGCAGCGTACTTCTAGTAAAGATAATACATTGTCAGTCCCTCAGTTAAAAACAAAACTGGGTCCTTACTTCATCAGTACAATGAAGTGAATAAGAAAATTAACATCCCAAACATTTCACATTTGAAACTTCTCATTGTTTCCACAAACCTTGACATATTGAGGGATTACATCTAAAATGTTTTCTAGTGTCAAAATATTTCATATAGTTTGTGCAGTTTTAGTCTACATTGTATATGTTGTTATTGAATAATATAACAGCAATCATTAATATGACACTGATTCTAAACCTTTGAATGAAAGTGATCTCTACCCAAAGTGGTTGTGGTCCTTTAAAATGCACTGCAACCTTCAAGGTAAGTTATTATTTTCCTAGTATTCCAACAGAGAAATCTTGCTCTAGAGACTGCTGCTTCACAGCTGTATGAGGAACGTAGGTGTATTTACAACAGATGTTGAGCCAAATTAACGAGATTCTTTGGCCAAAATCAAAAATTTAATCACACAGTTGTCACATTCCGCCTAACCAGCCTTACTAAGATCAAGCTACACAGTAAGTCTGTTCCCAGCTCCATCTAGTCAGCCTGATGGAACTTTCTTGTTCTGCCCGACCAACCCAAATGACCTGGCCAGGCTAGACCCAAGTTGGGCTTACATCTACAGTGCTTGATAATGGCAGGCAGAGTCCCTGCTGATAAAATATTCCGGGCTCCAGAGGGAAACACTATCTCCAGCCTCTGATGCCAGGTGGGAGTCCTGCCTGGCCGCAAGCTCCCTGAGAACTGGAACAGGGGCCTCCCTCACCAAGGCAAAATACATTTATAGGCTAATGGCAAGAAGTATATCTCTGTAAATGAGCCCGGTGTGACTATGATGTAATGGATGCACTAACTAATCGCTCTCTTCAGAGATGCTTTTGCGCTCTTCTTCTTTTCCTTTTTTGTTTTATGACGTACTGACCGTAATGTAAGCGTGGTTTTCACATGCCGATGTGGTCTGCTCATGTTGTTAAAGAAGCATCTATGTGTCAGTCAAAGAAGAATGCACTTTTTAAAGATCTGTCTGGCCCTATAGTTGCATATTTGTGTGTGTGTGTGTGTGTGTGTATATATGTATGTGTGTGTGTGTGTGTGTGTGTGTGTGTGTGTGTGTGTGTGTGTGTGTGTGTTAATGACATGTAGAGCTGCAGTGCACAATTCAGGGATACTTCAGGGGTGCTGTTTGAATGTACTTCAATTTAGACATGCTTTTGGTGCTTTGCCGTGAGCGTATATCAGTGGTGTATGAGGGTGAATGTGGATTGTGTAGGGAATGTGATCATACTGCAGTAATTTTGATTAGTGATGGGCAATACTGATAAAATTCAATATCGCAGTATTTTCCAAATGTATCACAGTATCAAGTAATTTTAGAATTGCATTAATAAACTTAATGAACCCCATGCTTCCTGAGTACTGATACTTCATGCTAAAAGAATGTCTTACAAACCTGACACAGCTTGTTTTGATTTGTTTTGTTGATTTCTGTTTTGTTCTGTTCTGCTTTTTCTTTTAAAATTACACCAAAGGAAACTTGCACAGTATTATGAATGGCAATGTGGCCAAAACCACATTTGCAGGAAGGAAATGTACACTTTGTGTAATTTTTAGGCATTCTGAAGCAAAAGATGCACAGTGGGATCAGAAGTCTGAGATCATGTTGAAACTCTGAGATGAATTGAAAATTTAAAACAAAGTTCTGAGAATTCTGCACTGTTTCAAGGTCACTAGTAAAAATTTTCAATTACAAAAATTGTTCAGATTTTTTTACTCTTTAGCCCTTCCATTGATGCACATGTTCACACAACTCTGAGGTGGATGTGATCTACTCATCAGAGGCTTTTGCACAGATTGCTTTAGTCCACATGCCAGCTCAAGTGCATGCTGTCATTAAAGCGAAAGGCCTGACATACCAAATACTAAGAGATTCTGAAATTCATGTAAATAGTGAAAAGATTAAAATCAAGTAATGAAAAACCTTTTATTAAATTGGAAAAAAAAGAATTTTTACTAGTACTCTCAGACTTTTGTACCTCACTGTACACTGCAACTGACTACATTTTACTAAACACTACTAAAGATAAAAATTTATGTTGTTGAGACACCAGTACAGATATAGATGAAATATCAGCTAGTGATAAGTAGCATTTACATAAGTTATGATATTTAGGTAAATTTAAGCATAATACGGCAAAAGATTAACTTGAGTTGACTACAGATGTGCATGTTTGGTTCCCGTCTACAGACTGGATATGAAGTCAGAATTGTGTAGGTGTCTGCTTATGTGCAGCTCTGAATTAAGGATTGTTTTTTTAGTGAACTGTAGACTAATTAAGGCTGAGAATGGGTAATGGTGTATTACAGTGCCCCCAAGTGGCACATACAGGAAAAGAAATGCAAAGCTGAGGACAGCAGCTGGGTTTTGGGTTAGAATCACAGCTGTGCCATTGGCTGTCTGCGGCCATAGGTTCTGGATGGTGCAACTGGCTGGAATGTCTGAACGGACGGATTGCCTGTATGTTTCTGAGGGTGCTGAACAATTGTTCTCAGAGTATGGTGAAGGATTCAGCAATGCTGCTCGGTAGGGCTACAGTGGCAGATGTCTTGTGTATCAAGAAGATTTCATCACATTTGAATTGTGCTAAGTACCAAATTAGATGCTGGCTACATCTAATTGTCGAACAAAATGGAGAACATGCACTCACAAGGACAGTTCCAGACCAAGATGTTTACAGTTGTTTGCCAATGTCTCTGTATTGCAGGTACTGGAGGATAACGATTACGGTCGTGCTGTAGACTGGTGGGGTCTCGGGGTGGTGATGTATGAGATGATGTGCGGCCGCCTGCCTTTCTACAACCAGGACCACGAGCGTCTGTTCGAGCTCATCCTCATGGAGGATATCCGTTTCCCCCGGACACTCGCTCCTGAGGGCAAGTCCTTGCTCTCCGGTCTCCTTAAGAAAGACCCGAAACAGCGGTCAGTAGCTTCTTTTCTCTCTACTGTCCCTCCATTCACATCAATTCCTCAGTTGTCTGTTTCAGACATTTATCTCTACAGTCTTATTTAGATGTTGTCACTTAGCAGAAACACGGCTCTTAGGTGCACTTTCTTGTGTGATAAACTGAAGTAGACTGCAAAAGTGGTTTTGCTGAGATAAGCCAATAGCTGAATGAACTGGTTTTACAGTTTCATCATATTACACATGTATGCAAACTTGTCGCCTCTCAGCAAAATTCACAGTGTTGCCATTCATGTGAATACTGTAGATTTGAGTACTTTTTCATTTTCGAAAGGGAGGGCTGGGGGGTCCTGCTGCCACCAAGGAAAATTCCAAAAATTTTGCCTCTGCCCCAGCAAAAGATCATGGTCAATTATTTGGCCAATCCACAGCCAATCCATAATATATCATTTTTATGAGTCATAACATTTCTGTAAGTGTAAAGGTTTCAGGACTGCTGCTGGAATATTTGGTGCCTTAATGGTACTGATTTAATGGATCCTTTGTGGAACAGAAGGGTAGCAAAACATGAAAAGAGAGCAAAGTTTTGTGAGTGGAGTTTTTATTTTCATTTAAAATTCATTTTTTAATAGCTTTCGAAAGGTGGGTGCAAAAACGTCAATATGTGCAAATGATAATTGTTTGCAACCCAGACAACCAGCTACCAGTTCAGTTTTGTGTAAAATTAATGCAAAACAAGTTGATTTCTGTGGACTTTCATAACCACTATCTGTACATAACATCACAAGCAGTGATCATTGGGGTCAAAGCACAATGTGCATTATGGAGCCAATGTATGCCTTTTATCTAGGATGCACAGTGATATGCACTGCATGTTTCCATGTTTAGCTGTGTTGTTACTGTTTAGTTTAACTATTCCTTTAACATTTATCTGTGTATTGTGTCCATTAGGTTAGGAGGTGGGCCTGATGATGCAAAAGAGATCATGCAGCACAAATTTTTTGCTGGAATCATGTGGCAAGATGTTTACGAGAAAAAGGTAAACAAATTACTCGCTCTTTCACTATGAACTACTCCGGCACACCTTTTTAAATGCTATGTTCTTTAAAAATAAGACTGAATCATGCTCTTTCATCATCGAAATCTAGACTTGACCTTGTACTAAAGTGGATTAAAGTATGTTAGGTTTACAGCCTGGAACCACCAAGATTGCTGATCTAGCATGAAACACAACTCCTGCAGAAATCTGTACACACACAGATTGGATGTGATCACGCCCTCAGCAGTAGCCCACACTGTAAATAAGGGTTAGTTCTATAGTAATCCTCTGTTTAAACTTAGCCTCTGCCTCCCCTCCCTGTATTTTAGCCAGAGCGGGCAACAGCTGTTAATATTCGTGTCAACAAGGAGTATCTATGCAGTGCAACATGAAAGTGTGTTTTCTAGAGTATCAGCAGCAGGGTACAAGCAAGGCTCTTTAGTAAGGCTCTAAAACTGTGACTGAGCTTCATTTACTTACTTACTACTACTTACTTACTCCCTTCTCTTGTCTCTCCTTCTCTCAGCTGATCCCTCCTTTTAAGCCCCAGGTTACCTCAGAAACGGACACAAGGTATTTTGACGAGGAGTTCACTGCACAGACCATCACAATCACACCACCTGGAGAAGGTACTGCACACGTCAACAACATGACATACATTGCATATTTACCAACTTTCAGTAGTTTACAGCTCTTCCTGGGCTCTGCTGGACATTTCACTGTTACAGTTTTCCAATCATTTGGCAGTGCTTGTCATGGACGATGAAGTGTATCATTAGTTGGTGTAAATTTCCTCCAAGTTTCCTTAGTGTCAGTCATGAGTTAGTGTCACTGTTAGTGCCTGCCATCTCTTTTTGGACCTATCTGCTCCTCTAGTAATGAATACCTGGAAGATTTATTCAGACAGTCTTTTAAAATTCTCAGGGTTCCTCACATGAGAGTAAAGCAGTTTTCCCTGTGATTATTAGAGAAGACATATTTTTAGGGCTGCAACAACTAATCAACTTTATTGATAATGCTGATAATAAAAAGTAGTTGGAAAACTATCTTGCTATCGAGTAGTTGTCATGATGATGTTTTAGCTACCCATTTACATCACTTAAATGAAAGAGGGACAACACAGATCGTGGTGACTACAGTATATGCACAGCTGAAAAAGGCAAAAATATAGGAACACTTCACTTTAACATTGTCTAAAAGAAAATATGGGAACACTTCACTTGAACATTGTCCAAGACCATTTCCTGTAAGATGAGTGAAAGTGAGCTCACCTTCTAGAGAAACACATTCACAGCTAGCAGAAGTTCACCATGGTGAGTGAACCGCGGTAAAACTGTAGTCAAAAGTTAAAAACGCCATGGTGTCTGCTTTTCAGCAAACTCTCCTTTGGTTTTGCCAGAGACGCGCTATTGGCTGAAGGAATAAGCTGCAAATTATACTTATTTTTTAGGTGCTAGTGCACTAAAACACACAGACCTGCTCGTCCTCATGGATATGGATATGGATATTTTTTTTTATTTAGTTTATGAAATCGTTGACATCAGGTGTGTTGTTACTGCTGTTTATTGAGTGGTTAACATTCTTTATGGCTCTGCATGTCTGACATGACTAATAATCGAGTAGCTTCTATGAGCTTGCTAGTATCAGCTTTGATTACATGACGTTACTGACCACACAAACTAAAAACGAATTCATTTTCATCTTTACTTAATCATTAGAGGAGGAATCATTTGAATAACAATGCAAAGTTCTATCTCTATAACAGTAGTTGGAGTGCTGTGGAAGATTTGTTCAGGTGATGTTTCTTTATTGTTTCTCCACCTTTCACACTGAGTAAAATAGTATTTTTGAGGGCAGTGCTGAAGACATCTTGTGGCATTGTTAATCTTGATGAAAGTCAGATGTAGAATGATAGCTTCTGGCCGCACATTTTCCTTTCCCTGATTAATCGATGCCAAAATGGACTGATTAATCCACTATGCAATCATCTTTAGTAGCAGCCCTAGATATTTCAGAGTGAGCACTGCCCCCTGGTGCAAAGTTATTATTACATTTTGCGCATATGCTCACTGTCCACTTTATTAGGTACACCTATCATGTATCTACACTGCTTGTCCATTTTATCAGCTCTACTCACTATATAGGAGCACATTGTAGTCATCTGGTTTTCTGCATAATTTATTAACCCCGTTTACCCTATTCATCAGTCTGTAATTGTACAACTACAAAGTGTACCTGAATGGTAAGAGGCCCTGATAAAATGGACAAAGAGTAAGAATACATGTATCTGATAAAGTGTCCAGTGACTGTACTTTGGGGTATGAAGGTTTATTAGACTGCAGAAAACAAGCAAATAAATCAATAAAGATATATATTTAAAAAATCAGTTTTTCTTTCTTGCTCTTGCAGACACCAGCGGAATTGCCTGGGCCTGTAAAGATCCAGGGCTCAGCCCGGTTCATTATAGAAATTTTTTTTGGTATATCATCACCCAGTATTTTTTTTTTTTTAATTAACCTATAAAATGTGCCGTTGCTATTTTTTACTTGGGGTTTACACTTCAACAAAATGTGCAGTGACAAAATTATTTTAAAAATAAATAAAAGGAGTGAAAACACTGTAACAGAAACTGAAAAAATAAACAAAACAAATAAACAGGATGTTTCCCCAGTAATGCTGCTCTTGAAGTCCTCTGCACATTTCCTCTCTCTCCACATCAACCAGCCCTTCTACGTGTTTCCTCAGTAATGCCCTGTCAACACAGGAATAATTAATCTGTTTTTTGATATATTTTAAAAGCTAAATTGTCACTCACATGTCACGTGTCACACACATTTTCCACATACAACATCGGGCTTGGGTTGGGCTTTTTTAGATTTTTAACGTGCTCTCTCTTGCATGTTCTCTCTCTCTCTTGCAATATCTCTTTCTCTCTCTTACTCAAGCCCGGGAAACCAAGGCAACACCCCTGGTGGACACACACATGCATGTACTTAGCACGTCTTGTAAATAACTTTGCCGTGCCCAACAAATGGCAATGTATTTTGCACAAATTTTCCTCTCTTGATGTAAAATGGGCAGTGCTAAACTTTGGCTCCAATCACAAAGCTGATGTGGGTTGTCCTGATCACACAGCCTTTTCACAACTGTGTTACCCAGTGGTCTCTCTGTATTTGAGTCAGAAAAACTTACCAAGAGAAAACTAACAGAGAGCAAAGACAATCCTCAGATAGGTCTGATTAGTGGTTTATTATATTTCTTATATTTGTTTTATTATATTTCTGTTGTTTTTTCATTCAGGCTTTGCTAGATGTTCAATATAACACTCAATTATAGTATCATCATACACTTAATATCAACATACACATATGTGCAACATCTTTTTTTTCCTCAAGTGATGAGATGTATACCATTTTATCTGGTGTTTGTTTTGTGAATGTCCTATAATGTATCTTTCTATGTCTCTGTTTCTCTCTTTCTCTCACTCACAGATGAAAACATGGAGCCGTTTGACAGTGAGAGAAGACCCCACTTTCCTAAGTTTTCCTACTCCGCCAGTGGAACCTGCTAGATGACCTTTTTTCATTCCTGCCTCTGCACCACCGATTCCAGCGCTCCCTGCTGGGCGCTTTGAGTAGCCGTTGCTCTTTTGCACCACTGACCTATGACAAATTTCCCCCTACCAATGACTAAACTTTAACATCACAAAGGAAAGATGGAAACAAAACAAAAAAAAACTGGCATCTGATAAGGGTGGCCTTTGGCAGCATCCTACTGGAGTGCACACACTTTGGGCCTTTTCACCATTTCGGTTTGTCTTACATTGTCCAACATTTCGATTTGTCTTACATTCTCCAACATTTCGGTTTGTCTTACATGTCAGATTTTGTCACAGCACAAACATTTCTTTGTGGCTATAGCCAATAAATTTCATAGTCTTGCGAAAGGAAAAACAAACCTTCCAGCACACTTTTGTTACTTCTGTGGCCTTCCAGTGACTTATTTTCGAGGATGTTAGAGGGAACAGTACACCACATTCTCTACAAACAAAGAGACCAACAAACGAATAAATAAATAATTTACTGAAAAAGTAAAAAGCCACTTGACACAGAAGTCAAAGGTTTTAGAGCACTTCCTAAACCTAATTAGGTATTTACAGCAACTGAACTAATATAATGCCAAATAACATGTAACACTTACTTATACTGAAAAAGAACACCAGTCCTTTAGACCAACTAAAGCCTTCATGCATTTTATACAAAGACTCATTGAAGAAGATGTCTTTGAATAATATGTAATCATTTAGCATTTCAATTGAGCAGGACCTTACTTTTAGAGGTATTGATTGGAATTGCTTTGACCCAAGCGCTTTTAGGCTAAATTTCCCCTGCATTTGTAATCATTTGTACTGAATGTGCAATACTGTAGCAAAACATAAAGAAGGACATAGATAGTTTAGTAATGTAGTTCAGCTGAAACAAGGCCACTTCAATTTTGTCTGAACTGGATCTGAATGGATTTTTTAATCCTTTAGTGCTCTGAGTGGTAAGGAGGAATTCTCATTTCAGACTGCGTTAAAAAAAGGCATCCTGCACTTGAACATTGACATTTTTGAAAGTGTTTTTCCCTATATTAATCAAGTTGGGTACTCCTCCTCCATCCTCTCTTTTCCTCCTTTTTTTGGACTGGTTTGTTTTCTGTATTGGGTGCATTTCTCCCAGTGCACGTTGCACAGCCTCAGTGAGGTACTACAACTAGAACTACTTCAACAACATCCTTACAGTTCATGGCTTTGAATCTAAGGGAGCCTTGTGGCAGAACCAGCCTTTGTAATCTTTTGAAAGGACTGTCTTTTTTCTTTTTTACCTGGATTTGTTCATTATTTATATATATAAAAAAAAACCAGCAGTGACTAGGAGATTGACTTTGCAGGAGAAAATGCACTTTCCTGCCTCAGATACTGTTGCATTTGTACATTGACGTTCAGGCATTTCTTACACTGTAGAGGAGCTTCACGTAAGATTCAGCAAGTACTGGTGCTTTAGCTAGAAAAGTCAGCCATTGTTGTTTACACATTGGAGTTATATAGAGTGTTTGACCCTATGTGATCACATTTTGCTTGATTAACACGATAACTATAAATGCAGCCACATTCTGCATGGGTTGATGAAAAATGGGTAAGAGTTATTCTGCTCAAATTGCTGATTTATAAACAATTAAAATTATCTATGCACAGCAAAAAAAGAGATCTTTGCATTTTAAACCTAATCACAACATCTTAACATTTCTTGTCATATTCTTGTAAGAATATTAAGAGGATATTAAACTTATTTCTATATTTTTGTACTTGGTTTAAGTCATTTATCTAGAGAAATAGTCTTGTTCAATTGGCAGATAATTTTTTAAAAACACAAGCAAAACAAGCAATATTATCTACCAAAGAATGACAGTTTCACTATATAGAATGACTTAAAACAAGTAAAAACATCTAGAAATAAGTTATAATCTTAATATTCTAAAAAACAGAGAATCTACCATCTCAAAATGATAGATATTAGACATAAAGACACTTGCCAAGATATCAGTGTTTTACAGTGGTGCCACTTATCCGGTTAGTGTGTGTGATTTAAAGCGTGAAACTGATTTACAAAGACTTCATAATCCTTAAAGATCTTACCTGGTGCTCCTTTACCATTGAAGGTGATATGAACCAGCATTTCTCTAGATTAATCTGATGGAAGGTGTAAATACCATGAAACTGTTTTCAAGCAGTTTGAGTACAATCCAGTACAGCCCTTGTACAGATACTGGAACGAGTCTTTGTACAGATACTAGAATCTGTTAGGAAATTAAGCATCAAGAACTTGTTTTGAAAATGACCTTTTTTTTATTATCGTCAGTCACAATTTTTAAAGTGCATTACTCTGATCAGTGTTCAAATCTCACGTAGTAATCACCATGCAAAACTTTGTCAACATGCGTAAATGAATGTAAAGGCTTTTCCCTCTTCACTTTTTTACCTTAATACCTTAATTTTTGTATCTTCTTCTCCAGATTAAAGGAGCAATAAGTAACCTTACCATTTTGTCTGCCGACTTACGTATTATTGGCTCACTGCTGTTCATATTGCCTTACCATGCCGTTTGAACATTTGACCCGACCACTGTAGAAAACAGCGTCACTCTGGCTCACAAGCCTTTAACTCTCACTTTGTAACATTCCACACTTACCATATAGCCTATATATCATTTTCTTCTTGAAAACATCTACTTATTGCTTCTTTAAGACCTGATTGTTACATATGCATATGCTTTCTCATACTGTCCTGTTATCTTTTTGAAATGCGGAGATATTTTGCTTTTTTTATATACCTTTCCTCAACTCTCAAACTAAAGACACATGCTTTAGTATACGAATAATACAAACTTTGTACACACATCTGTTTTTATGGTTTAGATTTTTTCTGTGGAACTGAGCAAATAAAAGGTTTGGCTAAATAGTGTGTTGATGCATTATTTCATGGCTTATGGGACTTCTGAAGGGGATGATAGTAATAAAAGAGGACAGCAGAGTACAATGTAACATGGATGTTTTATGTAGTTAAATAAACTGAAGTACAACAAGCTTTTGGTCATCTCCTATGTCTACAGGCAGTGTTGGGGTAGTTACTCAGAAAAGTTATCCTTTACAAAATACTAATAACCTGTCATACACTGTAATGGGATTTATGTAATTTTACTTATTACTTACTGGAAAAAGTAAAGATACATCTATATTTCTCTATATAGCCCAGACACATCTGTACTAACTGTACTAGGGAAAAACCCATCAGTCCTTTCAGGACTTTATTTAGAGAGAAACAAACAGTAAACGTTGTTTAAAAGGTTTGCAACTATCCCTGCCTTTGAACAAGACTCCGCAAACCATGCTGATTAAAATCAGATGGGATCTTTATCCATCAGTTTTATATTAATACAACTGAATGCTTAAATCATTGTTCACAGGGTTTATGACGTTAATGAGGTTCTCACAATAACAAAGTCATGCCATTAGTGGATGCAGGTAGCACACGAATTTTAAATTAGGTACAAGGACCAGCACTGATCATCTATACAGAGGGAGTTTGTTTTGCATAAATAATATTGTTTGAGACATGAGTAACCCAAGTAACGTAAATCTGATTAAATCTGTAAAGATTATAAGAATTTCAACTGTAATGCATCACACTAGTGTGAGGTTAAGTAAACAGGGCCACTCTGCTGAATCGCATAACATAAAAAATCATCTGTCCTCTGTTGCATCACTTACTACAGAGTTCCAAACTGCCACTGGAAGCAACATCAGCACAAGAACTTTGTATTAGGAGCTTAATAATGGGCTTAATAATGAAATGGGTTTTCTTAGGCTTGTGTGGAGCTGCTTGGCTAAGATAACTATGCACAATGCTGATCATCGACTGGGATAACGGTCTGGGGCTTTTTGGGCTCTGCCACTTAGGCCACTCCAGTGAACAGTAATGTTAATGCTGCAGCATACAAACATTTTATTACAATTATATGCCTCCAACTTTGTAGCAACAGTTTGTGGAATCTTCATTTTTGTCATTTATTACTGTTTTTTGCATAATTCAAAGTTAGCCTTTGCATTGTGTGAAAACGTTATGATGAACAGATCAACAGAAATGGTCTAAAATTAAAAAATATATTTTTACATTTACTTCCATTATACATTAAGATTGTTTTTTTCCTTCTGTAAATTTACCATTTTGGAGATAACATATTTGAGATTTATTGTGATGATATTTCTCTTCTACTTTGTAGTCAAAAATAAATGTGTGTCTTTTTATTATGTGTATTCATGTAGTCACTGTTGTGACAAAACCTTGTATCTCCAAAATGGTAACTTTACAGAAGGAAAACACTTTCTTAACTTTGAATGGAAGTAAATAGAACCAGTTTTCTCCCCAATAAATTTTGAAGCATTTCTACTGCTCATTCATCATGAAACTGTAATTGATTCATGGCTGGCATTTTTAAATTTTATTCTTTAAAAAATGGAGATACATAGTTTTGTACCAACAAAAACAATATATTTTTACAGATTTACCTTTGTATACATGTCTGATTTAAATATATACATAGAATTGTATTGAATTAATTGTGTTTCCATCAGTTTACCAGCCTTTTTAGTGCCTGTTACAACTGGCTCCTCAGCATTTTGCAAATAACCCCACCTATAAGATAGCCTGTAACACTTGGATTCACTCTGTTGTTAGCTGAACTGTTAAAATGGTAAGTGCTAGAAGCATTTGTAGCAGAGATGTGCAGGTTGATTGCATAAAAAAGTATCAATCTTGCACATATAATATGAAAAAATGAGCAAAAAATCAAAATGTGCTAGGTTGTGCTCTCCCTGCTCTCCCCAACTTCTTTTGAGTTGAGAAGAAGGATACTGGCTCCGGAAGTGACCCGTCTACAGTCTTTTTCAGGTTAGGGCTGTTTCGCTCCCCTGAGCTAAAGACAGATGGTGTAGTTTGTGGGACAAGTGCTTATTATAAAGCCATCTAGCTGAGCCGTGCTTCAGTTGTGACAAAACATGCTCGGTACAGGAATTGCCTCCAAAAGTCTAAAAACATCAGGTGGTGCAGCTGTCCAGCCATATATATTCATTGAGTAAACCATAACAAAAGATAATTTCAGTTGTATAAAATTCTAAATAAAATAGTTTGGCATGATTTCATGTTTAAAAACTTTCAAATAAAAACCATGTTGCAAATAAGGCAACTTTAAAAGTGTTCAACTCACTGAGAAACTTTTGTCAATGTCACAGACATCATATTCTTGACCATTTCATTTAAATAAATTACTTTCTGAGATGTAGCTTTTAATGTCATTAAACTCTTTGGGTGTCTGCTTCCTATCATCTCCTCTGTGAACAATTCTGACTTTACATCTTAACCGTTTAAAAATGCAGAAATGTTGAAAAATAAGGGGAACTCCCCTTTAAGTGAAATTCATGCAGGATTTAAAACCCACTGAGATCTTATGAGGCTGTGCTGGGAAAAGAGAAATCCAAATGTTGTTTACATAATTATTGTGTTGGCTAAACTAGACAAGCACACAGAAAAAGGGGGAGATCGAGATAAGAAGTATCACAGAGGGGAAACCTTGTGGATCTGTGAATTTAAGTCTTTAGCTCCCAGTGGAATGAACGAGGATCTCAATCTTAGTTACTTTTTATAAACATTCAATTTTTGTCTTTGGGAAAGCAAATCTAGCGTATCTTCTAGGACAGTTGCACTGTCACTTTCAGAAGGCCGTGGCAGACTCTACCCAGCTGTTATTAATTGGCTTTGGTCTTTAAAAAGAAGTAGGCCTACAAAGTTGTTTCTTAAGTGTTCATGATATTAAGTAGCCAAAAACGTCCCCCACTTTGCTCCATGTAATTGAAAAAGAAACTTCAGCAAAGTATGATGAAGCAGTGTGAGGTGATCTTCAAAACTAGAAGACCTACAAAATGGGGATAAACACTACAGTGGCAAAAATAATTGCTTAAAGACTGTTTTTTGAAAATATACACAAAGTTACAGTTTATATATAAGCTAATTCATAGTGTTTATCAATACTTTGTAGGCCAAGTCTTGCTTTTTGTTTGAAAAGAGTTCCCATATAGCACCAAAGAGGGTTTGGGTTCTGCCATTATTACTATATCAAGCTTGTAACAATGGAAGAACCCTTTTCAAAAAAGTTCTATATAGAACCACACACACATTCTCCATCAATCTGAAGAACCATTTCACCATGTGAAGAACCCTTTAAGCATGCAAATGGTTTGAGTGTTCATGGTTCCATATAGAACCATGGTCTTTACTGAAGAACCACCTTTTTAAAGAGTGTATATCTCCAGGACCAGGATTGAGCATCCATGGTTTAAAGGAACTGCTTCCCACACATTCCTTGTTGGAGTCCACAGACAATCCATAGTGGCTGGATTTTTTCTTCTCTATACATTTCCCAACAAAGCCTGAATTTCACACTATCTTTTCGCCATATCTGTCTTTTGTTGTGGTTTTCCTCCTTTAAGTGAACATACAGGACAGACCAGTGGTCTCCAGCTCTGGTCCCACACCTACTCCAGTTAATCAACCTCTTCCCAAGTCGCTGATTGGCTGGATCAGATGTATTAAAGTTAAGTAAGGGGTGGAGCAGCTTATTGGATTCAGGTTGGAACTAAACTCTGCCGGAAGGTAGCTCTCCAGGACCAGGGTTGGAGACCACTAGGATAGACACACCAAAAACAGTTGAGTCCTTGCAATGAAAAACAGTATATGTGATATTATATGGCATTGTTTGATGCCCTGTATTTAAAATACAGGGTAAATAAAGCATAGTTTGGCTTTTCAACGTAAAGTCTGTACAAAATAAAATAGAAAACAAAATAACTGATAATCCAAAAAGTGTGGAATGGTTAATACATGGTTTATCGTTGGAAGGGCTCAGTTGCTAAACATCAGTGGATGACTGATTTTTGTTTTTAAGAATACATACATGTCCATATTGAGTGTCACTTAAGTTTCATCTCAAATTTCACTCAAATAAAATTTTTGACACCAATCCAAATGCCATGCTCAAGTGTACATATGTTTCCAAATTAACATCACATATCAATTTAATATAAAACAATGAATTTAAGAAAGATATAATCATTTATTTGTGTCCTTGCATTTTGCTTTTCACCCCATCACATCAACTTCTTAAGTATTAAATAAAGGGCCTCATTCACTAATATCTTCCTAAGTTTTTTCTTAAATTTGTTCTTGAGAAAGGTCCTAAGAAAAAGTCTACATCAGATTCATGACGTGTTCCTAAACCGCAGGACTGTTCACACATTTGTGCTCTTGAGTGTGTAGATTCTGTTATTACCTAAGAACAAATCCCAAATAAGAAAACACTGGTAAATGTCAGAATCTTTGTGAAAGCTGTGTAAGTGGGTTTCAAGAAGAAAATTCTTCTTAAGAACGGTTGATGAATGAGGCCCAATGTTCTTACACATTAAATGGCACAAAGAAGAGTCAAGAACACATTCAAAACTGGTAAATTTATTCAATACTGATAAATAGTTGCTTTCTCCATCATTGGAAGGGCCTGTGAAGCAAAACATACACCCAGTCACACAAAATATAAAAATTATTTATTTATTTGTTTGTTTGTTTTTATTATTTCTTTTCCACAGAAAAGACATAGTTTTCTGACAAAAAGCTGACATTAGAAGGTTTTACCTTGATACATCACATCACCTTCCGTCCCAAATTCAGTGGTGGTACTTCTTTGGTCTTACTTGGACCAAAAAATAAAAACAGTTATTAATGTGTGATAATAGCTTGTCCATTTGGTACCCATCTCATGGAATGACTCATTTCTTTATCTTTGTAGTCTAAAAAATGGCCAAAAACATTATCATATGCCTGATTTAGAAGCAAACCTTCAAGCAAACCTTTACAATTCTGGATCCACTTTACTTCTACACCGAGAAGCACAAATGGATTAAAAAGAGAAACTCACAGCTAAGATTTAAACCACTAGAACTAGACCGGCACGTCAACACTGCCAACAGTACGACAGGCCGCAGATCGCCGCCTAGTGGAAGAGAACTGAAAGGCAGTAGAAAAAATATGGCCAAAGTATTTCAAATGAAGAGTAATTAAAAATGATGATGATGAAGAGTAATTAACGACGACCAAGCTTTTTCTCTTTCAGTAACTATAACACACAGACTGTCTGTCTTTTTGTGAAACTTTCCTTTTACTGGTGTTTAAACATATGGGCTGTCATCGTTATCTCACATTTACGTACACTTTTACATTTAGCCAATAATATATATGTAGGTATTTTACATTAGTGCGGGATAAAAGAACATCTAATAATCTTTAAATGTTCCTTTATATCCAGCGTTTTACCTTCAGGCAGGTAAGCGCCTGCCGTGTGTTATTTGTTTGCTGAGCTATTGCGTCACCAACTTGTAGCTACGAGGGCGATGAGCTGGGAGGGAAAAGTAGTGAGGTGAAGAACGATTCAGTTACTGAACCGATTCATTCCAACTGCCTGTTTTAATGAATCGAGCGTCCGATACAACGAATCATTTCGTTCCACAATGATGAGTCAAGTCAGTTTTATAAGCTGGGTCTGCGTAATTGAATGAAACGTCCTTTCCTTTCTGCGTTCTTTGATTTTCCTTATCAGGTAGCCATGTGGAGGCGCATGATATCAGCTCTGCCAGTAGATTGTAGGAGGCAGCGGGCTTAAGATCAGACCGAATAAAGGAAAGTTAGCGCACAGCAAAGTAGTTAAGTTTCATTGAACTTACTTGGAACAGCTACAATCTCATCCTCCCTCAGCAATGTGGCTCAGCAAGTTCCAACCCAGAGAGTCTGATGTCACTACTCACTAACGACGTCAGCCACGGAGTGCACAAAGCACATAAACACATAAGAGAATTCAAATCATGAAAATTATATGCGAATTGTAGTAGTTTGTGTTTCTGACGTGCTAGAAAAATGTAAGCGAATCTGCGAATCGGTTCGACCAGTTCATTAAAAGAAACCGGTTCAAGGGAACCGATTCGTTCACGAGTCGGACACCGCTAGGGAAAACTAGCTGCTGTAATGTCTGAGAAGGGAGGGTGTGTTACATCCACCTGTGTGACAAACGGCTCCCTGTGTTTGATAGAAGTTTACTCTGCGGATATATTAGCTGTACAGAAAGGAGGGCTCGCTGTTTTGAGCTTTAACACAGGGGACTGAGCGATATATCTGTGCTGCAGGTAACGTTACAGCTGCTGTCGACGGCGCACTTTGGGAATGTCAGTCAGAGCTTGTTTGGCACTTTGGGAAACGTTGGCTAATATTTCCTGTTGGTGAAAACTAGTCAGAACAGTTTTCTCCTCCGAGTTCGACTGGGTAAGTCAGCGGTCCAGTAACGCTACACGACAACATCATTTCACCGTTCACAGACGAAACGGTTGTAACTTGTTGAAAACACAGACGACAAGGCAACGTCTTAATTTCGTACCGCTAGCAGCTCCAGCGTTTACGTTAGCTAGCCTAGCTGACCTAGCCGCTCCAGTACCGATAGCTGCCTGTGCCGAGCTAAACTTCAATGACAGCTACAAAACACCACGAACAGTTTCACATCATTTTACCACTGTGCTTTTCATTAATTACAACAGTGAAATTGACTCTAAAACGCGCTGTTTTGGATTAGGAATGTGGGGAATTTGTCTTGGAAGAACTTTCCCTACCAGATGGTTTCAGAGCAGAAAATCAGACTGGAAAGCAGGATGTTCCCACAGCCTGAGCTGACAAGCTTCATTATGTCCTAACAAGCTTCATTATGTCCTATGTTTTTTTTTTATTTATTATTTTTTTTGGAAAACCTGTGCCAGCAACCCTGGAATGGCGACACGTTTTGTCTGAAGAGAGAGAGACTATCTGTGTTCTGTGTTTGAATTTGCCTATTGATAAAGGATAAAGTCATGGTGCAAACTTCAGTGTTGTGTGAAAGGCGTGGGCTAGTCAGGAAGTTACCTTTTTACTTACTGGTCAGGTTTTGTGGTCTCTGCCATGCAGTATTTGTGAGAAATATGTATATTTTCTTGGTTAGTATGTAGAGTTTTGCCTGAAATTAATTGAGACTATGTATATACAGTGACTTCTTAAGGGGTGAAGCGAGGAGGGAGCTTACATAAAATCATCTGATAGCCTACATGGTCTTGTGTTTGTATGAGAACAGTTGTCGCTTTTACACTCATATTAAGGCTGGAAGATTCATTATTATCATTATTATTATTTTTTAAATTGAAATCACAATTTGAAGGAGTGCAATTTCCAAATCACAAGAGCTGCCATTTTAATTTTAGCCTACATTATCATCAACATTGTCTTAAGTTTTAAGTGGTGAAATTTGACCCAGTAACTTGGGAACTGCCTGTGGATGAGTTACACCAATCAGAAGCAACCAAACCCCCATGTGCTGTAACCACAACTAACTGGCAGTCTGGCACACTTTGTTCAGCATTGAAGCTTCAAGCAAGAAAAAGTGGATATGCTGGTCTTCTAGGCTTGGAGCTTAATTAAAAGATAATAATTGCAATTTAAATCACAGTCGCAATGCTGGTCAGAAAAATCTCAATAGATATTTTGCCCAAATTGTTCAGCCCTGCTTCATATTACTAACATCTACATTCTACTTGTCTCAGGTGATGTCAGACAGGTTTAATGGTGGGCTTGTTTTATAGCTAGTGTTGGATTTAATGGTACTCCATGTAAGCACGTTAAGGCCTTTACTGAACACTTTGTCTTTGCTTTGTAGGATGCAAAATAGGCTTTGACAAAGCGTGCAAAGATGAGCGTGACCTCTTGGTTCCTGGTGAGCAGCTCGGGCACGCGCCACCGTCTGCCTCGGGAGATGATCTTTGTTGGCAGAGAGGACTGCGAGCTGATGCTGCAGGTGAGACTTTACACACACGTGCACAACACACATATGAACTCTGTGTGCCAAACTTCTCCTCAAATCTCTGCTTGTTAAGGCCAAAGTGAGCAGCTTGGAAATCAAGGCTGATTTAAAGAGAGAGAGAGAACAAAACATGAGAGCTCAAAGGTTGGTCACCAGAAGGCTGAACATATTGAAGGTTATTTCTTTTGGTTAGGTGGTTGAATTCATCCTTGTATAACGTACTCTGTCAGAAAAAAGGTGCTACACTGTCACTGGGGACTTCAGTAGCTTTAATTAGGGAACGTATCTGTACTGTTCTGTACCCCTGTCTTGACTCCGGTCTTTTTAGTTTGTTTTTCAGATTTTTTTTAAAACCTTAGGTTATGAAAAGGTACAAATGTGCACTTTCCCTTGGAAAAGTAAATGTAGTGTACCTTTTAAAACCTGTTTAAGGGACACAATTGGATCTGCGGACCATTGTTCTACCAAATACACCTGTCCGGTACCCTTTTTCCCAACGGTGTAGGATTCACATTTCAGTACATTTCATTGATTCTAAATACATTACGATTGTTTAACAATTAAAAATTTTTGTATATTGTTACATATCATTAGGTCGTTCCTTGTTGCGTTTGATAACTGACAGGACTCGTTTTCTGGCAGCCAGTACATTAAAAGATTTGATTTGATGTGCTGGGTGTTGGTGAAGCGTCAGTGGAAATATACTTTGGATATAGAGAGTGACACTGATCTGATAGCAGGTGTCAGGATTGGGCTGATATCAGCAGAAATTGTCGAATGCTGCTAAAAGAGAATTAATCCGATCCACTTTTGTGACTAATCTAGCCTTAAACACACATTGTGTGATATGATGCTCTTAGCTATGTATTTCTTCCTGAGGGGCAGCAGAGTGTTTGAGTAGTTTGAGAGTACTTTTAGATCCACATCTACTGAAGAGCTTAAGTTAAAACTAGTTCATTTTAAAGCTAGTTTTTAAAGTAAACATATCGGATTGCTATCAGCCAATACTCAAGATTTCAATACTGGTATTAGAAAAGTAAAAGTGGAATTTTGCTTTATCTAATGGGATAAAATGAAAAAAACAGTTGTTACAGCAAAATTGAACCTCTGAACTTAAACTAGCTGATCTTTTCTGCTTGTTTTCATTTTATTTTTTCTTTGCCTCTAGTGAGCGTTTTAAACCAGCACGTGTACAAACAGATATCACGTTATCACTTTGTATCTTTTTATGCAGCGGCTCCAAAGTCTAGGAGGGGTGGTGTCAAAACTAACTTTGTGATTTAAATGGAAGGGCCCCATTACTGCATCCATTGTTGGTTCCCTGCTGACAAAGACAAAGCTGACAAAAAAAAGCCTTGCACAATCTAGTTGGTCAGCCAATATACAGGTTAACTGGCTTGCTTCAGATGTGATTTTTTTTGTTTAATTACTTGGATGCAACAAAAAAAAAAGACATGAAATATTAAGATAAAGTTTTAGCCTAAAATTATAAATTTTTAATTGAGTGTCTTTACTTGAGCTGGAAGTCGAAAGAAGAGAGAAATCCATTGGAGATTTGATTAGTTGAAGGGGAGACCTTGCTCTCTTGCTCAAAATAAAACTCACTGCTTGATGAAGATTTGATTCTGTTTTAGTCTTTTTTACAAGTGTGGACAAACTGCTGCTGCCATCACATTCCATCTCACTGTGTCTACTACCAGAACCTGATAGCAACTCTAGACACACTCTCTATTCCCCCCAACACCCTCTTCCCTGTCTACTTAAGCAGCTGGAAAAAGAGCCCTTCCTTTAAAACTGTTTATCCATTTTGCTTTGGTCTGTGGTTAGTTCAGAACGCCTCCCTCACCACAGTGGTTAGCTCAGCTCAAAAGCTCATCCTGTCCATATTCATGCACACTCACTTTGTCCAAGCCTCAACCTCTCCCCTTTTCAAAGAGGCCAGCCTATGATCTTTTTGTAGAAATGCTCATTCTTTCTGTTTAGACACACACTGGTATTTTCCTAACAGCCACAGGCTCTGGGTTGTGCCAAACCATGTCAACATATAGAACAATGCATCAGAAACTTTAACAGTAACTGTGGTTTTGAGAGCTGTGACCTGTAGTCTGTTATTTACTTTTAGTGACTGATCTGAACCAAGCCTCCAGTGAGTATTGTTTAGGCACAAGGAAGCTTGCTAAGCTTCTGTAGCTAAGGACCTACCTGTACAGTGTTTGTTCCAACAAGCCTGACAAGCGGCCTATTTAGCCTGGGTATAAATAGAACAACTCCTCAGCATTCATAATGACAGAGCCTGTGGACGCTTATGAACAGAAGCACATTTCAGGAACAATACACTGGTTATTGCCAGATGTCCATACCTAAGTAGTGAATGTCCCAAATACAGACTTGGCTTACTCTGTGCTTGTTCCATCCATGGGACTCCATAAACAAGTTAAAGGAGATGAAACTGTGAAGGAACTAATGCAATACTTAAAGCTATCAACAGAGATGCTGTAATAGTACTTTTTCTTTCCCAATATCGATATTGAAACCTTAAGGATTGTCCAGTAATGATACTGATCTGATATTTCTTTTTTGAAAACAACAAAGCTTTAAAATGAGCTATTCTAAAATGAAATATTTCACATAAGATGAGCATTTAGAAGTAGACTATTATTATGAAAATACTCAAGCATTCACAGCTGCATTGCATCACACATTGTGAGTGTGCACTGTTACAGAATTTGATCACTTTCTCCTCTTTGATATCCCATCCAGCATTTTCTGCTGATGTCGGTCCGATACTGATATCTGTTTGGTGCCATCTGTAGCTGTCAGTATTGGTTATAATAAATCATAAAAAGATGAACAATCAGAGATTCCAAAACACTTGTGAAAAACTGTAAGCCAGGAAGCCTCTAAAATACTTAATTAAAAAAAATATGTTAAGTTATGTGTAAGTTGTATGCACATAGTTTGGGCAGCCCTGGCCAGATGATGTATTTTGTTGATTTTTGGAGTTAACAAAACAAGCTCTACAGCAAACTGTTTTTAAAATAACATTTTGCAATAACATGCAGATGGTAATGCACAGATACTTTGTATTTGATTACCTTACAAATTTAAAAAAGGAGTAATTTTGGCATGTGCAGAAGTCTCAGACACCTTTCCAGTTGCAAAGATTCAGAACTTAAGTGGCTTATTATGACTGTTTTGGCTAGTCATCTTGCCATTAGGAATCGCCAGCTGATGACAGTTCCAGAGTGTAATAAATTTGTTGTTTAGTATCAGGTACATGGAAGAATGGATTCCACTAAATATCAGCAAATTCTAGAAGCAAATGTGACCCAGTCAGTCAAGAAACTGAAGCTAAAAAGAGACTGGCTTGTACACCAGGAAAATGATTCAAAACTTGCTTCATGAACTACTTCCAGAAATGCAAGCTGAAGCTTTTGTAGTGACCCTCACAGTCCCCTGACCTGAACATCACTGAAAATCTGTGGGTAGATCTTAAACGTGCTATGCATGCAAGATGGCCCAAGAATATTGCAGAGCTAGAAGCGTTCTGCAAAGAGTTCCTAGAACAAGAATAGAAAGACTCCAAGTTGACTGCATCATTTTTTTGATAACTGTAAGAAAGACCAGTAGAGTATTTAAAAATATGCGTCATCGTGGTGACAGTTGCCAACTTACCATTATCAATCCTTTGAGATGTTATGAAGTAATGGAGTTTGTAATCCTTTTATTGTGACAGCCCTGGAAATAATGAGGACTAAAAGCTTGTTATGGCTGTGCTCTGCTTGTTAAGTGCTCAGCATTGCTGGACAATAGCTGGGGCTCAGTGAGCAGAAGATCGTCCCACCCTGGCTTTGGCTGCAATGTTGCAAACTCATAGAGAAGTCTCTGATGAGCACTAACAAGGCTGCCAATGTGTCTGGCACCATAGCTCCCAGCCTTTGATGTGTGGAAGATAAGACTGCAAAAGATAATGACACAAAACAAAGCTTCTCTGCAATTACGCTTTCCTCAGGACATTTGTGGATATGTTTATCTCCACTGTTGCCGTTGATGTAGCAAATTTATTTTGAATGTATGTCTAATTGGGCCTGTCTGTTTTTGTGCTGTAATTTCTTGCCAATTTTCGTGTAATTTTGTGGTTATGCCTTGTCAGTGCCGTTTTAGACGGCTGATTGGATGGTCAGTGATATGTGAAACATTAATAAGGTTTTGCTTTTTTTCAGTTGAAGTCTTCAGATTCTGTCATGTTGGTAAATGTTCTTTGTGCCGAATGTGCTTTTTCCAGTCTCGCAGTGTGGACAAACAGCATGCTGTGATCAATTATGATGCTGCCACAGATGAACACCTCGTCAAAGACTTGGGCAGCCTGAATGGGGTGAGTTCAGAGTGGATCTTCTCTTTTAAAGGCAGCCAGTTCTGTGTATAACTTGACTCACATACAGTCTGTTATTTGTGGCATGGCCTCATCTGTTTGATTATTCAGAGGTTTAAATGGTAATCATTCTGAATGTTCTTAATATTTGCTTAAACAACAAAGAAGCTTGCCATTGAAGTCAGGGCAAAAAAATAACATGCCCATTTTCAGTTAGCTCGAAACAGTTTCTCCTGCATTGCTGCATGTACATTCTGATGTATAAATGTGGCAGATTGAGTTTTCAAAGTTCAGATCAAACATAGAAGCTATAAACAAATAGCCATGTATTCTGACTCACCCTTTTTTTCACTATTATTTTCTTTTAGTTAATTTCTTACTGCAAAAACACAGTTATGGTTTAAAAGTTTGGACTCACTGTTCAATGTTCAGTGAATCAAAAACATAAATGTTTTCAAAAACATAAAACAATATAAAAATATAATACAACCAGTTTGGTTGTAAATGTATGTATAAAATGTTTGTCTTGTGCAACTTTACAATTGATAAAGCATTCATGTGATACTAGAAAGCTGTGAAAAATAGTCATGCTAGACCTATTTAACTTTGTTTCAAAAAATGTATATATTTTTTAAAGGCAAATTAAGAAACTTTATAGATGTGTTGAGAATGTTGAACAGAGCCATAGAAGATTCTGAAATGATGGAGAAAGCTCTGTAGCACTGACAGTTAACTTTAATATCCAGAAATATCTTTAGTATCCAGAATTCATCATATTGTAAAAGTGTAGATCCAATCTCAAAGCAGATAACTTGACAATGAATGTAAATATTATGTAATTATAGTATATAATTAGATTTTTTCCTCACATAATTCTTTAAAGATTGAATATCTAAAAACACCTTTTGCCCCCTGTAATTTAGTTAGTATTTATAAAATAATAAAAAGTGTTATGTTAAATGTTATGTAATTATAGTTACATTTGAATGGTAGTGAATGTCACATACATGGGGTCAACACTGTATATGTCACAATTGTCACTAATGATTTATATGTAAGTTGCTGTAAGTCATTTGAAGACTGTTCATGCAGCCATAACATTAGACACAGCTTAAGTTAGAAAGTTTAATCCAGGCATGCAGAGCACAAGGCAGATGCTAAGAGGAGTGTCTTGGGCCAAAGCATAGAGGAATACATTTTTTACTGCTTTAAATCTTTTCATGTCCCTCTCCTAAAAGGCATTTCCATGTGGTGTTAGCACTTAGAGTTAAGACAGCAGCAGAACATGAGCTGAAGTAACATTCCTGGATTGTAGCACAAGGCAGTGGAAAGGGATTGAATGCGTTCAGCTTAATACTTGTAGATAAACAATCTCAGACTTGACAGAGCTTTGTTTTATATTACTAGGAAGAACACTTGGCTTTCTGGGCCTTAAAGAGAGAGATTCTTTTCCCTTTATCTCAGTGTTTTTTCACAGTGATGGTATTCTGTCATTCACTGGAGACACATTTGAGTGGTTGGATGTGCATGTAACCTTTAACCCTTTTTCCTGGTCAATTTTATCTTGGAATGCTATGAAAGCCATTAGCCAGCTGTTTAGCAGATATACAGGAGGTGAAGTTTTTTTTTTGTTTGTTTTTGTTTTTTAAGCATGGCTCCGTTCACCCACATCTCATATGTCCTTTCCACAGCCTCCTGGGGTGCAGACTCTCATTATATAACTGGCACAATCTTATTAATGTCTTAACTTGCAGACCGTAGCTTAACTTTCACTGTTAGAATGTCGAGCTGCCAAAACACCTTGAACAATCCCTACGCACCCTCCTGATGTGGTTAAAACTGCTAAGGCTTCGTTATGATTCATTACCTCACTTCTCCTTACAGATCTATTTCTTTTATATTTTCACACAAATAAAAATGAATAGATATGTATTAATTCATTTTCTTGTGTATTTAGCTGTTGTAGCCGTGAGCTGCTGTTACTAGTTTTGTTCCTCTCATATGTCATTGCTGATTTTGATTTATGTTAGTGCTGCTTGTTTTACAAGGTTGACCTGAAAACTGAACAGTTCACTGAACAGCTTTTTGTTATCTACTGTTTCCTGTCACTGTTCTACAGACTTTTGTGAATGACCTCCGTATCCCTGACCAGACCTACATCACCCTGAAGCTTTCTGACGTTGTTCGCTTTGGATATGATATCCTTTTCCACAATGGAGCAATGCAACCATACCCATACAGAAAGAATTCATCTAATGCTAATCCTTTGCTTTGAGTCAGGGGTTTGAGATTATGGTCAGTGCTAAGCTGAAAATCTCCTCCAACCTCGCCTTGTTGCAAAAGAAAGAAAAAGAAAGAACTGAGCATGCAAGAAATTCCGTTTAGACAATGGCAAATGAAACAGCTTTCTTGTTTATGAGACAGATTTCCCAGGAAATGTGCTGCTGTTTGTGTGTGTAAGGATAAGGTTATACAAGGCTCAGCTATATAGAACTGATGCGATGTAAATAAAAAAAAAAGCATATTTAAAAAAAAAAAGTCCCTGTTTTTTTTGTTGATCTAATGCCTTTCTTAATTCTTGTAAGCTGACTCATCTTTCATGCTTCCCATGTTGTCACTGAGTTAGATCTTAACTCTCCCCACATACTCACGTTTACATCATGGAGCGGAGTCAACACAAGGTTCCAGAGGAAGCCCTTAAGGTACACGTTTGCATGCTTTGCTAATTTCTGAGTACCTGATCTTTGTAGATGCTGACTGGTTGTCCATCTGGTTCCCTGTCATAATAATTACTGTTATTGTAGTTTCTGTTTCTGTAGAATCTTTTTGTGCGTCTTGGTGTGACTATGTTTTTAACACAAAAACAATTCCATGCACTCACACCAAGCTGTTTTGTGTGTTTTTGTGGATGTCAGCATGAGAAGTACACCAGTCAGCTGCAGATGGGACTGAAGGCTCTGGAAGCAAAGAAGAGAGAACAGGCAGAGGAGAAGAGCTGTAAACCCACAGAATTATCTCACTCCAAGCAGGACAAGAGTGAGAGCAAATCCACCACAGGTAACATCTAGCACCCAAGACACATTTGGTATTCACAGTTTGCTTCTTACATTTCTTTTTTACTGGGGTTGTGGGGCCAATGTGTGTAACAAGTAATAGAAACTTATAGTCCACTTATAGTCCAAACCTAAACCACAGTGGCGAACAGTGACTATTAGAGCTAGGCCTTCAGTTTAGGGCATAAGTATCAAAATCCATTGTAAATCAAGCCATGATTGGTTGATTCTTGTATCTCTTCCTTATTATGTAGGCAGTTGATTTTTAAGGCCTTCATGTCCAGCTCATGAAGTTCTAAGAAATACAGCTTGGATGTATGACTGTATCCACCTAGTTACTACAGGGACAAATAATTTCCTAATTGGACAATTTTGTTTCCCATCAAAACTTAAGAGTGTTACTACAACATAGAATTTAAATACAGCAAGTATGATAATACTTTTTACATAAAAATGAACATAAAATTGCAGACATTTTTTTTTTGTTTCAAGAAATCATCAGGCCATCTCTGAAGGCCAAGAGGACCAAAGGGTTCCTCACTGCTAAACCGTCACAAACTTGACTCAAATCGCATTGAGATGTAAAGTAATCTCTTGTTTATGTGACTTGCTGAGGTAATCTGTTACTATTAAAAGTATATTTTTACTGGATTGATTTTGCATTTTGTTACCTTTGAAGAAACTCTAAATTTAATCACTCTGTCAGCTATACCTGATTCATCATTGCTTCATTCAGTCATTTGCTTCTCTACCTCACTTGACCTTACTTCTTCTCCTTTTATTTGAGTATGACTAGCTCTATGGGCTGTACATTGTTCTCTGTACATTAACTGTGATAACAGGACGCTAGTGTAATAGAGAGTTGAAGAATGGCTAACGTGGCGTTCATGCACGCTGTGGGATTGCGTGCCAGCGTTTCGAGGTGGCTGAGGTAGAGTAGGTTGAGCTCTGTCACTTCTGGAGGTTCTCCTGATCAGAGGAGACAGTTACTGTTAATCTGTCAACCTGAAGGACATAATGGCACTGTAGGTAACCACAGTCTGTGATGCTGTTAGCGTGTGGCATGATGGGATTAACACTGAGTGCGAGTTAATCCAAGTCCGCTGTCGCACTGTGGCCAGCACTGGTAGGATTACCAGTTCAACATATTGTGAAATCACTTTTTTTTTTAAACACCAGGGTTACATTTACTCCTCTAGAGATAACTGTATTAGTGAGTGGGATTGATAATGTTACTTTATAATAATATTCATTGTTATTATACTGAACATAATCATAATCAAATGTAGTAATGTAATAACCTTCATTTACATGTGTGCCCAGGTTTTGGCTAGAATAAAAAATGTGCTTGCAGTTCTGTTTTAAGTAGCTGTTAGAATTTGATTTCTTTATATAGAATAGTAAATGATGCTTTTGTAATTTAGAATTTTGCTGCTTATTTAAAGGAGAGGTTAGCTAGATTTCTGTTTACACAAAAAGGTCTGTGCTTATGTCACATCCAGTCAGAGGTGCACTATTTTAATAATAATTTATCTCTTCCCATATCATCATTGTGATCTCCGACAGCTTCATTGAACACCGCAATGTCAATATCGTACAGCCCTACGCTACAGCATGTAAAATTTGGGAATTTTGAGTCCTCTGTGATGGGTAATTGCACCCAACATGTGGAAGAAGACTTTGTGATGCTGGTTGTGCTTTGGATCCTTTCCCAAGTGAATGAATCTGATGATTGTCAGTGCGTGGAGAACGATAAATGAGTTACCTACTATTGTCTTCATGTCTCCATCAGTATAATGTTCATTTTGCATTTGAGACCTAAACATCGAGCTGGACCTTCTTTCTGAGACTGTGTGTATGAAGTTAATACATAAAGATGTCTGATGTGGTGCAGAAGACTTTGGCGAAATCTGATTCAAAACGTCTGACTAGAGATGGACCATTCAGTGTTTTTGAGGCCGATACTGATTGCCTTTTAGCATGATCGGTCAATAGCCATTACCAATCAAGGGTGGGTTGGATGCAACATGGGTGTAGTAAGCGATTCTGGAGAACAGTTGTTGATATCTGTTAATATAGCAAAAGAAGTACACCCATCTCAACAGTGCTGCTCCAGAAGCTCTGCCCCCCAAGTTCATGGATGAGTATCGCCAAGACGAGCATTATTATTATTGGTTTTTTTTTAAGATCTTTTTGGCCATAAAACCCTTTGCAAATGTTGTATGGACAAATACCATGATATAACATCAGAGCAAACAACGACACAGCATGTAATGTAACTAACATTAACTAGGTTGTGGATTAGCACTGGACTGTCACTACAGTTGCTGTTGTGAAACTTACCAGTTACTATCACAAACATTAGCAAATGGGACAAAACAATACTGACCTATTGGTTCTGTGAAACAGCAAACAGTAAGTTCATTTTACCCACCTGTGAAGCAAAAACAGAGCAACATCCTCATCCCATTTCATGCCTTTCTCTCATTGAAGCTGAAGTCTTCTTTTTTGCCAGCTTCTTGATCCCATTTTTTCATTCCACCTTAAATGGTGCAGCAGTTACATTCTGGCACCTCAGACAAAATATGGCTCAAATATTTTTACTTCATTCGTCAGCTCTAAGGAACGACTAAGTTAGAGAAATATCGGCCAATTGTTAATCACATATTTGGGCTGAAAATTGGCCTGAAAGAAAAATTTAAGTCAGAGGTACTAATGGAAGGATTGATTGGCTATGTATCATATGTGGTCAGCAATCGGCCGAAACCGATACATAGCCGGTCGATCCTTCCATCAAGTAATAAGGAAAAAATAAGGAGATGTGATTTTGGGCAAGTATTCCCATGTGTACATTGTGTGTGCGTTTGTTTCCCGTTAAGCACATATCCTTCCTCCCTTTTTAGCCATAATCATTTACGTTTCCTTATTTTAGTTTGCACCTGAGCCCTGCATTCTGTCTGTGGTATAGAATTCTTCTAGATTGTGCTTCTGTTCTCATAGCACACTCCTCCTTTTGTTTTGCTTTTTCTGTGTGTGTGTGTGCATGCACGTTTTTTTTCTAACAAAACACCCCTTACAGGCTTCATGTAATTTGTTCCATGCTATAGGTTTTGTATTTTATACTTTGATTTTTTAGAACACTGGAGCTACTTCCATTTTTTCTTATTTTCTACTGTTCTACTATAATGGGCTTAAAAAAGACAGTCCTATGGGTTGTAGCCTCAGGATGCAAGGCACATGGGGAAATCAGATTTACACAGTTGGCCAAGACATGTTTGGTGTCTGAACTTTGCTTTTGTTTTGCACTGAAGCTACAAGGCTAATATAATGGATAACGGATAAACTGTTTTCACACTAAATGCGGAAAATTCACCACTGTGCTCCTAAATGCATTATTTTGAATTGGATTGTGGTGCAGATGTGTGAAAATGGAGTCCCTCGAAGTTTCTGCCTTTTGACCGACACTACAGGCAAATCTCAGTGTGGCTAATGGAAAAGCGACAGACATGTCTGCTTGGTAGTTCTATTCAACATAGTATCTTAGCACAAGGAATGGTGACTTGTCACAAAACCTTTGGCATGGAAGCTAGTCTTGGCCTGTGCCATCCAAGAGGAGAGAGCCTGGTCTTAATTCGTCATATAGTCTTGAATGGTTCAGCTACAGCAAAACGCGAAAAGGTCCCCCTCTTTCCGTGTTCTGCTGAAGACCCTCTCTCACTATCGAGAATGCTGCCCAGCCAGCAAGTGTTTTGCATAATGCAAACAATGTGAATAGTGTGCTTTGCATTAATTACTGTCTAGCAACATTAGCATCGTACTTCCAGTGCAGAACTACAGAAGCAAACTTCAGACACCAAACGTGTTGCCTGACTACATTTAGGGGAAAATTTTATTCAGTGTCTGTTCCTTCAAAGATGGACGGTACTGGTAAATTTACTATTAGATACAAGATCTTTTCTGCTGTCTATATTTACAAATGCAAACATTTTGTGCCTTAAAAAAGCCCATATTGTAGAAAACTAATTTTTCTTCAGTTTTTCTTAATTAGAGTTTGATGTAGTATGTAAAAAAACTTCTAGTTTAAAAACATACTGTTTACTCCCTAGTTCATGTGGTCCATGTATGAAAACCAAGCTGTAAAAACAGGCTGTTTTGTCACGATTTTTGTGATGTCACGAAAATCATACATTTATATATATCTGCCTGTTCAGTCTAGAGTTTAGCTCTGCCCACTCATGCCAAAGTTATAAGAAGTGTTTCAGCCCAGACTGCTTTTTGAACAAGGCACAATACAGGACAGTCAGTCAGAACAAAGAAGATTACATATAAATATATTAGTCTTAAAGGCACAGCTGTTTAACTGTAAGGGATAAAGAGAGGTTGGAAATGGTCATCTAAAAAATTATGATGACTGTTTTTGGTATGTAAACCCACAAAAACTGTCCCATGAGAAAAGAAATAAAACACAGGAAAATGTAGGGTATGGGCCCTTGTTAAAAGGGGTTTTATGTAATTGGTTGTTGATTCTAAATTCCACCTCATACAAATCCATACAAATTCAGCATCTAACATAATGATTTTAGTCACACTTTGTCACACTCTGAGATGTTGCTGTCGCTGATTGTAGCATTGCAAGACCTGCTTGTATGCCTACTTTTTTGTTCTTGGATGAGTGTGGTGGAGATGTAATGCTGACTCACACACTCGGGTGTGCCCAGCCCTACCCAACTGCTAGTATGTATAGCGTTGCGTGTATAACCACATTCTCTTATGAATGACACTTACACACTGTTGCCATTTTACAGTTATCTTGGCTTGATCAAACTTGCATTGTAAATGTCACATTTCCAACAATCTCCTTTGCATCTGGTTGTGACAGAAAATAAATGAGGATCTTAATAATCACTGATCACAGTCTCGAATGTTTGGTGGCCCATTTAGATATTTTTGGCAGCCTGCGTAGAACTGTATGTATGCACCATGTCTGGTCCTTTCTTGCCTTTTGTTGATACTACAGATTGTCACTGTGGCAACAGAGGCCTGGGCTTGTGCTGCTTTAGTTGACACTGCGTTAATGTAGCCAGCATGGTGGTTCAGCTGTGATGGACAACAGACTGTGCGTTTTGCATAGCTGACCTGCTAACTGGTCTGCTTCATGTTGACAGAAACAGAAAGATTATTTAGCCATTACAGGCTAAAATCTCTAACCCTAGTTTTGATATGGTAAGAGAGGGTACATTTTGGATGTTTTTTAAAACATATTTGGTAATGTTTCCAGAGTCATACACTATATGGCCAAAAATTTGTGGACATCTCCTCATCCAATGATTCTTTCAAAATTAAGAGTATTAAAAAAGAGAGGGTTTCTTCTTTCCTCCCCCCTTTGCTGCAGTAACAGCCACAACTCTTTTGGGAAAGCTATATACTAGAGTTTGGACCACTGTGAAGATTTGATTTCAGTTCAGCTACAAGAGCATTAGTGAGGTTGGTTACTGATGTTGGGTGGTACTTCTGAATCACAAACGTCATCTTAACTCATCCAGAGATATTTGATGGAGCTCTGTCACTCCAGAGATTTCAGTTCCACTGCTCAACAGCCCAGTGCTGGGGCCTTTATACCCCTGTAGGCCACGCTTGGCATCAGGCATGATGACTTTTGCCACATATGTGGCTGCTCCAGAGTGTGTCATTTTATTGGTCAGTGCTTTTCTATGGAGTTTATACAAGCTGTGTGTGTATTTGAACTCCTGTGTCAGCAGTGTGTGCTCCTTAATGCAGCTGAATTTACTAATAAGAAGGGGTGTCCACAAACCTTTGGACGTATAGTGTAGTACAGTTATTGCCTTTACCTTATTTCATTCCTTTACCACCACGAGTAAAGACCGAATAAGGTTAGCACTCCATTGACTGCCAGTGAGTTTCATTCAAGGGCCGCACTCTTAGCATAGCACTGAAAAGAATGTTTCCAGTGTTGGCTGTGCCTGAGATATTATATTATATGCTGTGTAAATATAATCATACTGAGTATGAAACGGTTGCGTGTTGGATTCATTGTGCCGGAACACAAACAGCTTTCATGCTGGCAGAACCCATTATGAGCTCTTTAGGCCAAAGAGCTGCCATGTGACCCTCATGAATGACACAATTTGTTAGTTATTTAACTGTCTCATTTAATAATTCTGTCTCTCTCTCTTCCTTTTTCTTTTCTTTCAGCTGCAGAGCCTCCAGCCTCCAAGCCCACTCCTTTGTATGGCCAACCTTCATGGTGGGGTGATGCTGATGAGGAGAATAAGGGTCAGCAGAGGGAACCAAATGCAGGTCTGTAACATCCTACCTGTGCTGACTGCGCTGTTGCATGTGTGCTATTATCAGTATTCACTTTTGATGCATTTACCTGAAATGACCTCTTAGAAACTGTTACACTGGTGAGATCTGTGGTGAAAGTATAAGAAAGACTCAAGAAATGGAGACTGTAATGTTTCTAGGACAGGCCAACAAACACAGCCTTGGTGTGGATTAGCACTCTTTTAAGCCAAAGGGGAATGAGAAGTCATTGTTTTCTCAATAATCTTAGCCTGGAACACAATCTGCCGTTTCTTGTTTTATGGTTTAATGTGATACTCCTGTGGAAGCATATCGGTAGCAAAATTCAAATGAAAATGTAATATGTAAAATGGCAATATATCCTTATGTTTGAATTTAGATTGCCCACTCATATATGTCTCAAAATAAATATTCAGATTTGGTTTTACCATTTTATTTGCCATTTGGTGCACTAGTATTCACATTTCATTTACTCAAGGATTTAAATGCTTGAGTAGCATATTTAAATTGAAATGTATTTCCAGAGCTGAATATTCATGCCTTATGGTATTGTACAATAATAGTGTGAAAATGATAATTAAAATGTAAATGTTTAACTTATATGCATTTGCACTCTCTAATCATTTCTTTGAAATTTGCATTATCAAAGAGAACACTAAGCTAGGGTGGGTTTTCCATCTACCATTTTTTTGCGAATTCTGAAAATGCGTGAATTAAAAAATAAACTTAATGGAAAAGTCTGAAATTTGTAAAAAAAACTCCCAAATACTGCAAAAAGAGTTTTTACGCTAGGACAAGGTGGAAAGTATCGCTAAAGCGGAAGTGCAAGAAAAGGGTGATAGAAAAGGGTTTTTCGAATAAATGATGTATCAAGCAGTAAGTCACATGATACAGCTTATACACAACGGTGAACTGTTGTCACGCTTACGCCAAAATAGATGGTCAGACTGTGGCGCATAGTTTTTCAAAGGTTGCTTTAGACATTCTGAAACGTCTAATCCAAAGTGCATTTGACAGATTGCTCTGTACAGTGTTTATAATTATTCTTACATTAGCAGATGAACCAGAGCAATATATCCACTCATGATGCTTACTGTCTTTATACACGACGCGATCAGAAAGCATTTAATTGAACATGTGGCCAAGTGTTCTGGTTTATTAGTCTATTCTAAAAGGAGGCTAAACTATTCACGTTCTATACGCCAGCTTCTTTTTCTAATTTTCAGTTCCAGCTTAAACAGAGTAGCGGTTACATTATGGTTTGTGCGTCCGAATATTACAGCAACACCATTTAAGGTAGGTTGGAAAATTTGAATAAGAAGCTCATTTCAACTTGGTTTCAAAATGGTGGAAACCAAGCGGAGAGGCTAGTCCTACATATTCTTGTTAATGCCATCAGCTCACCTACTAATACGCTACGTGAATTATGGAAGACTGCAGAATTAAGCTTGCTAAAAACTTTTGTTTATGCTAGCTAATGCTACATGCCCAAACAAGGCCCCCATCTCCTGTTTTTACCAGATGGCTAGCATGAACCAGCTCAATGTACCAGCGATTTTTATTCATTTATTTTTTTGTAATATGAATTTTTAAAAAGGAAAGCAGAACATTAAAGATCCCTAGCTGATTTTGGTTGAAATACGACACAGTACCTACGCAGCACAGCGGCTGCTGCCAACTGCAGCCACTATGACTAGGTGGTTGTGTGTCGTATATCTGTGTGTATGATTGCAATTTCAACTAAATCATTTTATGGTACATTTCTGGTAACAGATTAATCAGTAATGCTGGATTAATCTGTAACACGGAGAACGATTTTGACCCACTTATTAAAACAAAAAAATATACCACATGTTAATTGAAATTTTTTTTAAAATTTTTGGTAGGTCATGTATAAAGACATAGTAATCATCAAAAGTGGATATATTGCTCTGTTTCACCCCATCTTTTAACGTAAGCTCAGCTGCCACAGATAAAGCCTTTGCCGCTAAGCATGCTGCTGGCCCCGCCCTGACGCAGTCGGGTCTAATGCCTTTTTTTTTTTAGAATCATTTTGCCCTAGAATGAGCATGGTAGGCAAGAACAGGTAGTTGAGGTTTTTTGCAATTTCAAAACGCATTTTAATTAAAATAAAGCTACTCATGAAACCTCAATCTTTGTGGAAAAGAAATGTCAATACTAGTGCTCCAAATGGCAAACTGAAATGGTAAAACTGGATTCAAGTTTTCATTTCGAGACCAAAATTGCATGTAAGTGACCGATTTAAATTCAAACATAAGAATACATTGCCAGTTTACATATATGTTCATTTGAATTTTGCTACTGATCTGCTTCTGTGTACTCCAGTGTGTTTCAGTTTCAAAGAACTAAAGATCACAGTCCATGGAGAGCATTTTCCTTGCGTGGAACATATACAAAATGTTTATTTTAAATTTTAAATTAAAGATTTGTTTTTGGCTAAACATCACCAAAATACAATTCAGGTGATAAACTTGGCATACTTTGTCCTGTGCAAATGATCTGTGATTATTTTGAAAGATGAGAGTTACTTCAATTTATGAGACCCATATGTAGTCTCAGTACTGTGCAAATAAGGCAATAAACTCTTCAAAATGAAGAAGCACATTTTGAATTGACTTAAGTTGTGGTGTATCTCATTTATTTATCTACCTCAGACTAACTGCACATACGGAATGTGAACAACAGTACATTTCATAGTTTTATTTCATAACTTATTACTGTACAGCTGTACATTGGAATAGTGCAGTACTAGTGTATATTGTGTATATGTGTATATTCAGAGTCAGTGTATATATATATTTCTTTTTCTTCTTAGATATTTATATGTTTGTATTTAAATTCTACAAGGGGGCTACGCACCTAAGATTTTCACTCACTTTCCACCTGTGTAAATGTGATGTGACAATAAACGTGATTTGATTTGATTATTTATTAGTCTTGCTTTGTATTTATGTTTGAATGTTCTATCACAGGAAATCAAAAGGAAGACTCCAAAAATGAGGTCAATGGCTCCACCTCTGAACATCAAGATGGCCAACCTGAAGGCAAACCTGTTTACCCCTACCGAAAGGATGCAGGTTACTTTGAGATCCCCACTAAAGAGTTGCATTCGAGGCCCAAAACTGCAGAGCCAGAGGTTCAGGTGATCCCCACAAAAGACACAGACAATCGGACCGCTTCTACACCCCCTGTAGTGCAGAGTCATGCCTCTTTCACCATTGAGTTTGATGAGTGCACTCCTGGAAAGATCAAAATCAAAGACCATGTTACAAAGTTCTCATTCCGCCAACGCAAGACCCCCAGCAAGGAGTCCGTTTTCACACCAACAGAGGTGATGTCGGCAGAGAGCAAAGTGGCTGATTGGCTAGTACAGAGTGATGCAAGCATGGCAAGGAGGAAGTCTAGAACAGAAGATCTTTATAGCACGAAGAGTGACCTTTCTATAAACAGAACGATTCTGAAAGGTAAGGAGCTAAACTGATTTGATCATTTTAAAGGTGCAGAAGGTAATACAGTAAACAGAGTAGGACTTTGCTCAGAACTAGAGCTGGGCGATATGGCCAAAAATGCTATCATGTTAAACAAAATGCCATATTTGTAATATTCATAATTTAAGAAAGAAAACAGATTATTTTAGCTGTCTGGTGACGAGTGCTAGGCTATCCCATTACAAATGCTAAACAAGTGGCCAACAACAGTGCTAAACTGTTTAGTTTCTCAACAATGTCAGCTTAGTATGAACAGCAAACATTAGCTGGCTCGGTACGTCAGTGATGGACCACACCGCCTTAGTGCCATCACTCCTACCACACCTATGTATTCAAACACCAGCTAGCAGACATCTGGATCTCTTTATAGTAATTTGAGGGGTGAACCATGATATATCTAACACCAGACAAACAGAGTCCTCCTTTTAGCTATGTTTAAACTGAAATCAGTGCTTTTTTGTTGTGTTTGATCTGAAGTATCATCAATTCCCCGTGGTGTGCGAGTGACAGAGCTCTGCTTTAAGTTAGCCAGCTGTTAAAAACAGCTACCCTGGAAAGATAGAGTTCTCCCACTGTCCAGTGCCACACAGCATCTTCAGTTTACTTTCGTTTAAATCAGTGCTGTAACTTGCATGAAGCCACTTCTTTCTTTCACTTTCATTGCTTAGGAATGCACTAATACTAAAATATGACTGTTTAGCGCTATAACAGCGCTGTAGTTGTGTGGAGCAGATGTTATTTATCGCTGCTAAAGCTTGTTAGGATGTTAGGAAAGAGGTGAGTTCGCTCTAGGCCAGTACAGTTACGGCACTTATCTAGTCACTCACACTTGGTCACAGAAGAACAGAGCGCCGGTCGCTCCACTCAAACGGGGAATGTATAACTCCACGTTTCAGACATTGCTAAAGTATATTTGGTGACTCATTTTACTCGTCACCCCCTCCCTCTCTAATCATGTTGAAAACCCCAGAAGTGCGCCCTCTCCTGGCAACAGCAGAGTAGTGTTGCTTTCCTTGCAGTAGAAAACGCCACCAGGGCTGTCGCTAGAACGTGGAAGTGTGACAATTGTGTATTATATCGAAAATGTATCGAACATTTCTTATAGTTCTGTTGAGGAAAGTTATATTGCGATAATTATCGTTATTGTTTTATCGCCCAGCCCTACTCAGAACATGTCATTGTTGGCAATAGGCTGCAGATTTGGTGCTTACAGTGCCCTTTTATGTCACAGCAAATGTCGTCAAAGCTAAGATATAAATGGTCCATTAACATTTTTTGCACCCACTATGGCAATTTGCTATAGCGTGGAATGCTTCATGGTTTAGATTTTTACATTTGCTTGTGTAGTTTTCCTTGAGTTGCTATTGTTTACCTCCATAATTTGGGAGCGTTTGAACTGATAGGATGGTGACTGCAGTGTTGTTGGCAATAGTTTATACCCTAATGTCAGGACATGGCAGGACATGTTTGGAAATTGAAGGCGTATCCAGCAGGAGAACAATTTGAGTTTAAATGTAAAATTTGTATACAATGATGTAAAGAAGGAATTCAGGCCTCAAATATTTTTTTTTCTTTTTTATAACAAAATGTATTTTTTACTTTTCTAAAACTATTAGTTGCACCTTTTTAAATTTAGATTTTGAGGTAACACTTCACTGTTCATGCTAGATGGACATCATCATGAGGATGGCACACAGTGTGACTCTGAAGATCCTGCCACAAAACCTCCAGACGTTTCAAAGTCCGACCTGTCACCTCCACGACTTTTCACTCCACCAGAGAGAGAAGAACCTCCCGCCAGCTCAACACCACACTCTCAAAGTCAAGGCAGACAGGAACCCCAGCAAGCTTTTGTCATTGAGTTCTTTGATGACGTTGCACGCAAGAAACGTTCACAGTCCTTTACTAATAACATTTCTCCTCCAGAGTCCCATGAGCCCCTCAAAAACAGAATGGAGAAGATGAAAAGTCCCTCCCAGACTGGAGAGAAGTCAACCCCCAGTCAACAGTTTACTGTTCCCCTTAAAGATTCTGGTGGTTTCCAGAGAGCTGGATCTCTGAGAAGGGAGAAAACTGACGTTCGTATGAGTTCCTCTAACTTTTCTTCTCGTTCAGCTTCTTCAAAAGCATTTAATAGTGTTGGCCGCAGGTCCAAACTGGCCCAGGACTTTGCAGCTGAGTTTCTCAGGGCGTCAAAATCCATTTCCACTGCCACCTGGGAGAAGCCCACTTCCTCTACATCCTCATCAGCTTCCAACACAGTATCCATGGTAACAAATAATTCTTCAACTCAGTCTCAACCCCCTGTTCCTATTCCTATTCAGACTCAGGTTTCATCACCGTCCCATCAGCAAGTGCCCTCCAAATCTCTGCTCACACCCACACCAGCCAATTGCACAGATGTCAAGAACACTAAAGGTTCCAGGCAAGAAGAAGAAGACAGCTTGAGTGATGCTGGTACCTACACCATTGAAACAGAGGGACCTGATAAAGAGGTGGAGGAGGCACGTAACAAGATTGATCAGGTATTTTCCTTTTTTTCAGACTGACTAGATTCATGTTTGTGTTTCCCACAGATTCAAAATATACTTTGGTGCTGGAGCCAGGGGACGGGGTAAACACTCTAAAGCGTAAATAAATAACAAATTCATGATTCATGAGTGCTCTGCGGCCATTTAAATAGACTAAACCTTACTGAAACAAGAAATGGCCATATCAGTGCATTATGGGCATTTCAGTGGTCAATATTAGAGTAAAATATGTTATCTGGGACCAGCTCACATCATCATTATCATTATCACTTGTTTAACACCTTTTGACAATGATTATGGTTTGTTCTGTTAGTCATGATTCATTCATGATTCATGAATTTTGGCTGCTTTTTTGCATATGAGCAATATATTTTTTTCCCACATTTGAAACTATATACTATCATGTAAACATACAAAAAAATGGATGGACTGACCTACTGCCCACAGTTTTAACCTGTTGGTATTGTAAAAGATGACAGTTTAGAGGCTACAGCCTACAGTATGTTTTTTACGTACTCTTGGAAGAATGACAATGAGCTAATGTGTTTTGTGACTAACAGAACAAACCATAATCATTGTTAAAAGGTGTTAAACGTGGTAATGCACTGATATGATAATGCTAATGATAATGCACTGATATGGCCATTTCTTGTTTCAGTAAGATTTAGTCTATTTAAATGACTGCAGAGCACTTGGTGAATTTGTGCGTATCAGGGTATCTGGGCTACGAGTCTCAACATTTAGGTGTCCATATACCTGGGTGCACCACCAAAATATAACATATGTATAGGAAACACATTTCAGTAAGCTTGCTGGATGGTTTAAAGAATGGCTCAGATGTGAAACCAGTCAGACATGGACAGACTTTCAAAAAATTTGGTTTTGCGATACACACTAGTGTGCTTTGCGTAACAATTTGTTTTGTGATCTCTTCAGTATTTTCAGTTTAACTAGAGTTGTAGAGTTTTAAAGGAGACTAAGTTGCATAAATTTGTCTCACAGGCTTGCAGCAGTTGTAGGATATGTTGGTTTGTATCGAAAGGTTTGTAGTAATGGTAACTCAGTGGTTGATTTAAAGTTAGTCAAGTCTAGTCATAAAAATATAAAAGTTACTTAATTGAAAACTGACAAGAATGCGGGCTAGTTTAGATTATTTACCAAGATAAATAATATTTAATAATAAGAATAAGAATTCTTGGTCAGAGTTTATGGACTGACCAAATTCGACCTATTACCTGTTCATAAGTAGTATATTTTCTAGGGATGCACAGTGATGAGCATAGGACAGATGTTCAGATTTGATAGTACTTGAGCAGAATGTTTAGAAGACACTGGGCTACTGTGCTAAAACATCTGTACTTTATTCATTTGTACTGAATTTGTAACTCAGAAAATACGTTATAAATTTATTCACTAATCCAGGTGGATTTAGTTCCAGTTTCTACAATTTATAATTGTGTTCCTTTGTACTGTTTATATATGTGAAACATGGAATATAGCATGCAGCTTTGTAACACTACCAGTGACCAAACTCCCTCTTCTAGAATAGTTAGTTTATCTGTTGTAGTTTTAGGAAGAGCTAACTAGATGTTCTCTTCTGCTGTCAATTATTATGCCTCAGTATAATCAGACTACACAAACAATTAAATTAAACAGTAAAGCATGGGGATTGTTTGTTTTATTTTAGAAGGTAAACTAAGACTAACTGAGGAAGAGGGTAAACTAAACGAAGCAAGTCAAATAAAAATATCAGGAAACGCAACAGAAATGTTCATTCATGTTAAGTTTGCTAAAACATCTGAACTTAATGCACCAAGAAGGACTTAAGCCAGCCCAGCCCACTCATGCATGCTTTGTTCCTGACAGGTGTTTGGTGTTGGCGAGTGCCCTGAGCACAACAGTCAGTCTTCAGCAGCAACAGTGTATAGACCTGTAGGTCGTGACAGGGAGGGCCAGGATAGCCTTCCACTTAGTGAGAGTAGTCCTGGCCCAGTACTGGGCCATTATCCAGGCTTTAGTGACCCTTCCATGGGTCCAGCACAGGTAACCTCACATCTGGGCCCTAAATGTCATGGTGACTCCAGATCAATAGTGTGGGTCTGTCTGTCTGTCTGTCTGTCAACCAATCAGCCAGTCTTTGGCATAATTTTCCAGTGATTGTTCATGTTTTTAGGGGGCCAAGCATTTATTAAATATGTTGTTCTTTTTCTTTTACAGTGGAATAGCAGTCCACTTTTGTTTGCTTCATTTGCTTAATTCCCCACTGATACATGAAAAGGATAGCAACCACTGAACTTTCCAGAATGATTTACTATGGATTCCGTGTAGGGGCTGTGGTGTCATCCAGAATAAACAGACAAAAAACTTGATTTAGAGTGGTTTTGGATTAACTTTCATATTAACAATAAAAAACAGTAGAATGCCAGTGTAATGCTTATAAAACAGGGTGAGCCAAAAGTCAGGAACCTGTTCAATGCATAATTTTAGTTTGATCTTATCATTACCATCATGCATTAGATGAAAGAGTGTACCTGTGACATATGTTACTCTATGCCTCCACCATCTTGAACACAGTATTCAGTGGGTTGCACATATTTGGGTAGTTCCTGATTTGACTCATCCCATGTATAAAGTACACTGTACAGAGCTAGGAAGTACACTGGAGGAGTCTGGCTAGGGATTCTAGCTGTGGTGCTCCTGCCTGGACAGGGAATCAAACCTTCAGTCATCTGTGTAGTGGGCTGGAGTGTTATCCACCAGCTCTCTATTTCAGTGTGTGATTAATTCATAAATGAATCTTGGGAAATATTCTCCTCAGCTGGTTATATGCTCATTAGTTTGTGCATGAGCGAAAATAACAAACTGTATTGTGGGTAGTGTAAAGGCTCAACATAGTTACAGTTTTGTTCAGTTGGATCAGTTGATTGTCAAGTATCTCTTATTTACATTGGATAGAGTACCTGAAGCGTTCACCCGACAGCTGTATTATTCATGATATACTGGATCAGAACTCATCACCGTCTGCTATGGTGCAGGCTATTAGAAAAAATAAAATTTCCTTTAAAGATTTTAAAGCTGTTTCTGTTCTGAACTGCAGACATTGACAACACATCTTAATTTCTGAAAGTATTTACAGGGTGCTTGCGTGTAGAAGGAGCCAGTGATTCTTACACTGTTCATCAGAGCTTTAGTTTATCAAACACACTCTTCCCTAGCAGCCTTTAAATAGTTCCCTTACTGGCCTACATGAACTAGGACATACCAGTTTGACATTTCAGATCATAGTAGGCATGAAAACGCAATATAGCGAATACTGTTCAAGTAAAATGTACGTTGATTGCCTTGATTAGCAGTCTTTTAGATCAAATCACGACAGCTCTAGAATTGTCATGTGATGCTTGCCCCCCTTAATTTTTTCTTGCTCTAGCATTTACTTAACTTTTCTTCTGGGACTCTCTCAACGCTATTTTTTTTTTAATTGTGTCTTTCACCTCTTTCCTTTTTGGTTCTCTGGTGATGGGTGAGGCAAATCATTAAAGACTTAAGGATTTTATAGTTAGGTTGCAATCTATGGTAGTAAATAGTAACAGTGTAAATAATTGAAACATCATCTTTCAAATTTATGCCAGCTGTTGATCAGTTAGTCAGTGTTGTTTTTGTTTCTTTCTTTTTCACAGGTAGAGTCAATGGTCTTAACTACTGGCAACACCAGATGGGTCTCTCGCTGGGCTAGTTTGGCTGACAACTATTCAGACTCAGGTTCAGTGTCAGGACTCTTTGACATCCCAGCACAGATGGATCTTTCAGGTAGCTGTAAGACTTGATTTTTCCTAATCATTTTGGCATTTGCACACTTAATTTAAGGCAGCAATTTACAGAATTGTTAAACTTACCAATCAGCAGATGGACGAATCATCCATCAGACGATGCTAAATCGAAACACTGTCAGCACAGAATCAGAGAGTGGGCAGAATTCTCGGGGACGGCGAATTCTACCTCAGCTGCCCTCCATGGAGAAGACAGAAACTCCACCGCCCAGCATTCACGTTCGATCTGACTCTTACCTGAACTATGAGGGCATGGAAAGGAACATACGTGGTTCACAGCAGAAAGAAGACCTGCAGAAACTGTATGTCCCGGATGATCTGGAACCAGACAGTCTGAGTGATGCCAGCAAGTCCGATGATGGCTCCATTGTGGAGCAGGGTAGAAAAACCAGTGCTGCAAGACCAGAGAAGACTGGGCCAGAGGTTAAAAGTCAGACATCATCTAAACATGAAGCTCTCGCTTCTGGTGCAGCCAAGATGGTAAAGGACCAAGATTCTACCCCGAAGTTCTCAACAGCCACTATAACTAGACAGCATGGCAACAAACCCAACCTTGCTCTCCCTAATAGAGATGCTTCTCAGTGTGAGGAAAACCCTGTATCCCTCATCAGGCAAGAGAGTTTTACTAAGGATAGGTCCAGTGATGACATCCATTTTACGAGATTGCCCCATATCTCAAGTCCATCGTCCAGCGATGATAAAAATGCATTCAAAGGTGTGTGCAGCCAAGACACTCAGTCTTACCTCAAAGAGACAGAGAATGTTCTTGCATCTTTGGAAGCCAGGCTTCAAGTGCAGAAGCGTGACAGTGGCTCCTGCCCTCTGGAGGACTCACTTTCTGGGGAATCAGATGTGGACACGTCCAGTACAGTCAGTCAACGTAGTGGTAGAAATGCTGTCACTTCTGCCCCTAAGAAGCCAGTGATCCTCAGTGAACTCTTGAAAGAGAGAAAAGCAGCCAGCCAGCATGCTCAAGAACAAAACCGCTTTCAGTCATCTGGTGATCCTCTTTCTCAGGCATCCAGGTCCAGTCAAGCCGACAATGATCGTAAGGGGGAATCAGATAAGTGCTTTCAGTTACGTCGTAGTTCAGGAAAACATGGATCTCTGGACTTTGGCAATGAGCCTCAGAGCTCCACTATCCGTCAGTGGCCTGAAACTGTTTCAGACCAGGAGTCCAACTCGCGTCCTACTCAGAGAAAGTTCACCATCCCCCTTCAGAAAGACAACTCAAGCAAGTCCACAAAAGGTACAGTAGCCCAAGCCCTGGCCCGCTCTAACAGCCTTTCTGCACCAAGGCCTACAAGGACCTCCATGCTCCGCCGTGCCCGCCTAGGCGAAGCATCTGACAATGATGGCACTGAGACTGATCGAACATCTCAGAATTCAGATGCCAACCCTTCAACCACCAGACCCCAAGACAGCAAGAAGCTTTCCCGCTTGGACATCTTGGCTCTACCAAGAAAGAGGGCTGGTTCTTTCACTACACCCAGTGACACAGAGTCCTCTGCAGGCAAGACAGGCTTTTCCAACCGCAGCTCAGAGTCTGGTTTCTCAGCACGGAAGGCTTCAGTGTCTGACCCCAAGACTGGTGCACAGAAGGGTTCAGGGGGATTAGCCAGACAGCCAATCATCCGTGGCCGCTCAAGCAGTGCAAAGTATGCTAGCAGCACAGCTAGTGAGTATGATGCTACCTAAACCTATTTATTAATGAAATTAATTAAGAAAAATGTTCTTGTACATTGTCTTTTTATAGAATGTTGTTTTATCCTTGAAGGTAGGGCTGCATGATTCATACATAAAAACGATGTTCTATGAAGTTCTTAGATATTGCCATGATGAAAGGAGAAGCACTAAATTAAACGTTTGTCTTTGACTGGCAACAAGAAGAGGCTTCTAACTAACCTGTCCTTTTCAGCTATAAAGTACAAAATATAAAAGCATGTCAACTGAAAAAGAAAACTAATAACAGTTATTGCAAGCACATTTTTGTGCACAGTAATGGTCCCAAAGTTCTTCATATATAGGCCTACAAAAACAAATGTGTATACATATATTTATACAACAGTTAACCAATTAATTTTTTCACAAACACCGTATCACTCCATTGAGACGCCGTTGCTAAGCAACAACTTTGACAGCTGTAGGAGACGCTCAAGCCATTTGAATGTTTTTACTTCTTACTTTGCGCACAAACAGAAAATGAATTAAGATTACATTTGACCTACAGCCGATTTGGTCAGACTTTGAAGATTAGACTACACTAAGTTCCATTCATTACCACTGAGCAAGCTTTTCAGTCTGCACCAGTGACAGAAGAACACCTAAACAACCTGGAATTAGCCAGAAATTAACCGAATACCATTCGCCGAACAAAATGGGCTGTAAGATCCTTTACAGACTGGCTGAAACAAAACAACATTAATATTGATCTAGCAAAAAATGACAAAACTGAGCTAAACCTGATATTGCAGCGGTTTTATGGCTCAGTCCGTACTTCAAAAGGCAAGGCTTACAGCAAACTGTGCAGAGTGAGCGGAGTTCATCACCCTGACGCAGCAACAAGCTGCTTGTTAAGAAACTATAATTTGGCGGAAGGAATTGCTAACATTAAAATATATTAAATGCCACGTTCACGGCCCAGTTTACTTATTTCTTAATTTATTTATTTGACTGTTATATAAAAGCAATAGAACACTCGAGGTCGTGTGTTACCAAATCATAGCTGTGATGTTATTTCGTGATAACACACTCCGTCTCACGTTCTATTGCTTATATATAAAACTCCTAATGGTAATGCAAGTTGGTTGTGACAGTAGCCATTACTGCTTCAGACATTTTACACACAATGCTAAAGAGTGAGAATAATCATGTTCAAAGCATTTTTACAGTATAGTAGATAGTAGTTAAGGATAGAGTAGTTTTTGCACACAGCAAGTGTACTTTGTGAAAAGGTAATCAGAAAAGTGCCTTTCACTCTACAGGTGAGAGGCTGGGGTTCAAACCATGAGAGTACGCCACTGCATAATATATTAGATCTGGCTCCTAACGGTGCATTCCCTCCGAATACAAATACTTCACTATGCATGTGAAATGTAATTTAATCTGTTCTGTCATCCCTGAGCTTTAGGATATGTTATTCACTGAAACTTATATTGTGATGATGATAAAAGTATGATAAATCATGCAGCTCTGTTTGAGGGAGATTTTTGCTGTATTTGTAAAAGATTTCATTTATGCATTCATTTATCAGAATAATGAAATTGATCATGAACGTATTATTACCATGTTTGTGGTCCTTATTCTTTTGCACTTTAAGTCTCTGACCCAGTGGTTGTGCCATTTGTTGCTTTTTGCATCACTGGGCCTAGTGACTAACTAACAGCAAGCCATTTTACAAGTTCTCCAGTGTACTAATGTAACGGGTTTCAGACACTATGGATTTAATCATTAAATGGTTACCAGCTGAAGTGCTCATTCAGTGAAATGTCAACTCTTCGACTGTGTGAGCACTTTGTTTTCATTTTATACCTTTATTTCTGTCAGTGGGACCTGGAATCTGGGTTTTTCGCTTTCTTCTCATATATTTGGTCTCTTTCTTTTTCTTCTTCATTTGTACTTTTCTTTACTGGTGATTACCCTGGTGCTTCCCAAACTTTCCTCAATGCAATTTCCTGGGCCAAGGCTCCAGGAGACGTCAGAAGGGCTCAGACTACACCTCCACTTCAGAGGAGGAATACGAGTCTAACCAAAGCACTCCTAAACATAAACGATCCCACCATTCAGGAGCTTTACACGCAAGAACCCAGAATCTTCTGCCAGTGCGACCTATCTCAAGGACCAGAGACTCTGAGGGGGAGGGACATGAGAGTGATGCCTTCCAGAGCTGGACAACACACAGTGCTGAAATTGCAAGGTAATGAAAGATGTACAGAACAGTGCTTAAAATCATGTCTACCATAGTCATTTGGAAAAGAGGATTTGTAGACTGAGATTCTTGCTCAATTCAAAGAATATCTCCAATTTTCTGACTTTTTATACTGAACCTTAGTTTGACCTAAATTGTCTAAATTAAGGTTTGCAAGAGTGCAGTATAGTTTAAAAGAAACCATCCTTTCTATGGGCTTTTATTGTTTGTGTGTTTCTGAAACTTGCATCCTTGAGCAAATGAGATAATGTATTCCGTGATAGGTTGAGTCAGGACCTGGCTAAAGACTTGGCCATACTGGCTCGAGAGATTCATGATGTTGCTGGAGATGCTGAGCCTCAGAATTCTGCTTCTGCTGATACTGTGGAACCAGTGTCTGCTATATCCACCTGTGAAGAGGTAACTTTTCTTTGTCTCAGATTTTAGGATCTAGAGGCCATAATCATAGTTTAGGATGTTTATTGAGTTACATCAGTGCAGAGCTAGTTTTATAATGTCACTAATCTTTTGGTGTTATTCTAAGACCTATCAGTAAGTTATGCTGCCGTTGTGTGTTGTGTTTGTTTTTTGTTTTTTGTTTTTACTTGCCTCTGCATTACCCTAAGTATAGTAAATAATAGTGGTTCAGGTTTCCACTTTCATTAAGGGTTTTATCCTCTATTTTGCTTACAGTTGCGGCATCAGATTCCTGAGACCAGCCTTAATTACCCTAAAGTTCCACCAATTTCAGCTGTGGTCAGAAACTCTGACCAGATTATTAATGATCAAAGCCTCAAGCAGTGCAGTTGGAACCAGGAACAGGTATTGTGACTTACTCAGACTCCCCTTTTTTTCTCTTTTTTCCCATCTTTTTTTCCAGCTTTCACTAATTCTCTGTCTCACAGTATACACTTAATTCTTCCTCTTCAGGTTGCTCTGGATAATGGGATGCTGAATCCTGTCTCCCAGCTTTCTGTGGCTATCCGAGAAAACACAGAACAACTGACTGAAAAAATCAAGTACGTTATTAACCTTGGAATGAGTTTTATTACCTTTGGTCAGGTCACCTAACTGCAATTCTTATCTTTAAAACAAAATTTCACTCCAAATTTTTCATTTTTTTCATGAATGATTTCTGAAAATGAGTATATGTTTGAATTAACATATTATATTAAATAGAAACTAGAATAGAATGTATGAATGAGTAATTTTAAAATTATCTTGTTATTGAGCTCACATGAAGCTTTTCCACCCTTGCCCTGATTTTGCGACTAAATGTTTCCAACAATGAATGCTTACGATGATAGAAATGGGTTTGGCACAGTTATCCTCTGCATACCTGGTACAATAACATAGGCTTACTAAAAGAGGGCTGAGAACATGATATCAGCTTGTAAACCACTCATCATTATCTAAGATATCAGCACAGTCTAGAAAGATGCATTCTCTCCATAGAGCTCAGTTTTGCCGGGTCCTCGATATTTGCCTGTACAATTTTTGAACGGACTTGTGAGTTTTATTTATAAAATTTGAATTTGACCTACAAATATTTTAAGGTCAAATTTGCAAATCTGTGAATGTTTTATAAAGGAGACTTCAGAGCGACATTAATGTATGTAGGGTATTTTTGCACCACACAGCAAAAATTAGCCAGCTGGCAAGGCAAAAGATGACAAACTCAGCAAAGCAAAGCATAACCACTGTTTAGCTAATATTTGTTTCCACAAACACAAATGGGAGTTTGGGAATACAGGAGTAAAAATAGCTACCGTAAAACAAATGGGTTAAAAATCAAATAATGTATATATGCGTGTGTGTGATTATGTGTGTGAGTGTGTGTGTGTGTATGCATATCGCTGCTGTTGTAAATTTCATGGTAAATGGACCAAAAGAAATGTCCCAAAATGACTTCGACTTCCATTGGCTTATATTAAAAGTAAAATTTGTTTTTTTTCTTCTCCCGTAAAGTTAGCATTTTAGACATAAAAGGTTTTGTTCCGACAGCAGCGAGATATATCATTATTATTATTTGCAAAATTCTCAGAATTTTACTTAAGTACACTATATGGCCAAAAGTATGTGGACTCCTGACCATCACACCTGTATGAGCTGGTTGAGCAGACTGAAGTGGCACAAATCAGATCTGAGTCACTTTTATATGTGTTCCTTGATTGAATACATATCCTGTTCTTGGCCATGCAACCCTAATGAAAATGCTCGGATGGATCAGAACATGTGTTTCTTTTGCTTTTTTTTTTCCTCCCCAGTCATCATTCAGTGTTGATGTAGCAGCACTAATAATGCACAGCTGAGAGCTATTCAGAGCAAATTATATTAGCAATGAAGGCTTGTTCTGCCAGTTTCTTTGTTGTTCATGATGCACGTGATTCATAGGATGTGCACATGGGGTGCATTTTAGGACACAGGTTTGCTCACATTAATGATGGATTTGAGTCATATACCTACACAAATGTAAACCATCAGGATAGGAAGATAAGATCTGAGCAAAAAATAAGAATTGAGCAATGAGACTTGTAATGTAAATGTAGCCTTGGCATCTTTTTTGTCTAAAAACATCAGATCAGTTGAATTTTATTGATTTGTTTTTATGTTGTATTTTTCAGTAGCCTGTACTCTCAAAAACTGATTAAGCATTTAATTATAACACCAAAAAAATTGATGTCCTTTGTATGACTTGTGTATGATAGTGATGTTGCACTGTTGTATTGTCCTTCCGGTACAAGATCTTGTTCTAGATCTTGGTTTGTTTTTAATGCATTTTTATTTGCTCTCAGGCTATTATTCCATAATAAGATAAAAGTCTGGGAGGAGATTGAGGCAAAGATAAATGCAGCAGATGATCCTCCACCTTTGGATACTCCCAACAAGGTAGGTCTGTCTGCTTATTTTAGTGATGCTGGTGGACTTAAGTACTTTGCTTTCACTCCTTAACACACCACTTCTCTGCTCTAGGAAATAATGGCTATTCTCCAGGACCTTAGAGGGATACAGAAACGGTTGGAAGGTATGAATATTGTTTTATTCCTTTTTAAGGAGAAGTGATGCCACTTCGTTAAAGACTATTAGGTATCATATGGAGGAAAGAAATACATCATTAAGTCTTTTTATTTGCTTTTACCCAAAGCTCACACTTTGTGGATAAGGCTAAATGAGCACACTGATATGAAACATAGGCACCTAAAACATAAATAACACTGCACACACACTATTATTTATGACATAAAATCCTTACACAAAGTGGCTGAAATAAAAATAAATCGTCCAATTGCCGGACGTGTGTTAAGAGCGAATATCAGCAGATTCTGACTGTACACCCTTAGTATCTTACATAACATGCATTAATAAGAATGAATGTGAACAAAATGAATGTAAAAACATCAAGTGCTTCCTCTGCAGTCATCAACAGAATTCTTGAACCCAGCGGAAACCCAGATGTGGCCCAATCACCAGCCACTGGAGGCCAGTCTACAGCTGGACTGAGGAGCTTCAGAGTTTCTCCTAGAGACTGGAGAACCACTTCGTCCCAGCGCGGTGGTGGCCCCTCAGCCAGCAGTCGAAGGTTTGGTAGGGGGTCAGAGGGGGAAAGTTTTGTTGTATGAGAATGATTTAAGTCCTCCCTCTCCTCCTGTCTACATGCCATGTCCACTAAAGCTGCTCATTTGAACAGTCATTGGTGACTAATGTAAGAACATTCAGTCACCAGTGTCAGAGCGTGCACATTTAGTTACTTGATTAACCTTCAATGGCTTTTTTTCAAGGTTTGGTGTTGATGGGTCCATTTGCACTAAGGTGTGTGTTTGTTGCACCAGAAAAAAAACTGTCACACAACACTAAGTACTTAAGGGTACAAAGCTGGTTTGCATTGTTGAAAACAATGTGTAAAGTGAGCTTTTGAGGCTGTGCATCACTGGGAGAAATGATACAGCCTTTTTTTTTTTGACCTATTAGATTTATTCCTTACATGGAATAGAAACTATTTGTGATGACACTGTATTTGAGTTTCATTTTTGTTATCATTTTGGTCTTGATTGATTTGAGGAGGTAAATTAATTTACAGAAATATTTAACTTTATTCAGGGTATTTTATATGCTGAGGATCATTAAAGAATGTGTTAAATAGATGTATTTCTTTTTCATTATTGCCACAGTCACAAATAGTGAAGTATGCACTTTGATTTCTTTGATGTTTTCAAGTGAGTTTTTTTTTTTTATTTGCTTTTCAACTTATAATCTGGCAACACTAAATTCTGTGCTTTTTATAATTGTACTTCTAGTCCTCTGTCAAAACTGTCTGTATGTCTGTAGTTCCTACATGCTGAAAAAAGAAAAGTTACCCAGAACTGACATTCCCATGAACTATGAATATGACAGAACATAGAGTACTATGCAGTGAGAGACCACCCTTTATTCAATCATGTATTTAAGTATTTATTTCTTTGTTTCTTTCTTTCTTGCTTTCTTTCTTTCTTTCTAGTCAAAACAACCTTTAATGGACCAAGTTTTTCATTCATTTTCAGGAGATCATTTTGAAGAGATTAGATATAATCCACTTGCATAAGGAACAGCAAAGTCTAAGACTAAGGAGTTTAAAATTATTAAATGTATAGAGAAAATGGCACTATTAACATCCATGTAAGGCCTGGTAGACCAACAAAACTGTCATCATCAGATAAAGAGTACTTAAAGCTGTAGTCTTTGAGAGAGAGGAGAAAATCAAAATCCGATTTTGCTCCAAATCTCTAAAAATCCACAGGTGTTTCTGTCCATCGTTCCACTGTGAGAAGACAACTCAACACTATGAGTCTGAAGGGATTTGTAGCTGTCAAGAAGCCATTACTGAGGAAAGAAACTAAACAAAAAAGAATTGCAAAAAAAAATTTTTGCAAGTCAAACAAAGAAGCTGATGGTGTTCTCAGAACAGTGGACTGACCACTCCAGAGTCCAGACCTCAACATCACTCAATGTGTGGATCACTTGGATCAAGAACAGCGGAAAATGCAACCAGCATCTAAGACTGAACTTTGGGGGTGTTGAAAAATATCCCTGCAGATTTCTTTGAAAAATTGAAAGCAAGACTCCTGAAAAGAATGGAAACTGTAATAAAGGCAAACATGGACACTAAACACTGAAAATTTGATTATATATTTAGTTTATATATTTAGGCTTCTGTGCCATTTTCTGTTAAAAACGTTCCCTTCTTTTTTCCCTGTCACTGAATAATCGAACAGCTTGTACTTTATTGCCATTCTGACTGGAAATTGTATACATTTCCACAGAGACCACAGAGGGTTGTCTCTGACTTTGGCACAGTACTGTCTTACTTGAAACGAATCATCTAATGTGCCTACGGATGAAGTAAGTCATTTTCAGTATGCAAGTATTCACTTTTTTTTCCCATAATTACATTTTTACAGCTCAACTTTTGTTGACTTTTGCTGAGTCCCTGCAGTGCTAGGAAGCATGAGTGATACTTTATATACCCTTATATTTAAAGATTTATATACATTGCTAAGTAAAGACCAGTATGAATGTTCAGTAAGATTACATATGTGGCACTGATGTGTAATCTACAAAGAAAGCTAGAAAAATAGTAATTAAATCATTTTGTAATACTATCAGTTGCTTAATTATACCAAAAATGTGTACAGTAGCAGTTTGCATGTCCAACTTTGTCCAGTATCCTCTTTCCCTTATTTTGCCAGAGTATAACAAAAGGAAAGTTTCATTTCATTGAAAGTATGAACTCCTGTTGTGCTTGGTGTACCGAAACTCACAGAAACTTAGAAATCAGGTCAGTGAAGATCGCTATGCCTCAGTGTCACTCCCAGAGTATCTTCAAGTGGCCATTAATGCTAGCAGACCATGATTGTTATTGAGATGAATTGAAGTATAGCTGCTGACTGTCCATTCTTCATTCTGTTGCAACATATATGTATAAAAGCTAATATAGTCTGTATGGAATGCTGTAGGTTTGCACTGCCAGAGCATGTGTCTCTGTTCTGGTTTTGCGCTCTGAGATGGAACTGCTTTCATTTCCTCTTATCAGTAAGTGGGAGACATTTCATGTACAGAATGTATTGAAGATTAAAGACACGTTATTTAAGATAGCTGTGGATTCAAGTTTAACTCAAGCCCACAATGAGTGCTTTCTGTTTGAGAAATGTCTGTCCTAATCTGTCCTATGAAACCTGCCAAGGTACAAGATATTTCTTAGAGTGTGAGACACTCTTAAAAATAAAAATGCTGCTCAAGTTTTTGTATAGTTATCTGGCCTGCTTTTGCACAGCCACCAGTTTCAAAATGCTTTGTTTGCTAGAGTTTGAAACTGACCTGAATGTTTCTGCCCTTTGTGTTTGTTTTCCCATGTGTTTGAATGTACAGTTCCAGTGTCACAAAGCCAAAACGTCCAGCAAAAGACCTTAACCTCCGTCTCTTTAAGATGTTTTGTTATTCTTAAAGAATACTTCTACCATTGCTTTGTCAAATTTCAATGTTTTGATCTAAAAGCTTCTAAAAGACCTGGTGCTGTAAAAATGTCTGGTCTTTATTATGACATTACTATCTTTTTCAATATTAGTTTGGGATCATTTTGTATAAGAGGTAAATCTGTAGAAGTGATCTTTTTTGGTTGTCTTCAAATAAAATTTTTTGGAATTACCTGATTGTGCTTGCCATTTAATATGTCAAACAAAGTTGCATCTTTAATTCAAATGCTGTATGCGACGTTTGTGTTAAGTTCATAGCACATATATAATACATAAATGTCATGTATGCCTGTGGGTGGCCACAGTTACAGAATTTTTGTGTGCAGTATGTAGTTTGGTTAATACCTGATGTTAAATTTGAATTTAGGGGCCATTCATGAGACTTTCTTTTTAAAAGCATACAAATAAATGAGGACCACTCACTAATAACCATTACATACAGCTGAAGTTATAAGTGTACATACACCTTAGCCACATTCATTTAAACTCAGTTCTTCACAATATTGACATTTAATTCTAATATACATTCTCTCTTCTAGGTCAATTAGGACCACTGCTATATTTTAAGAATGTGAAATGTCAGAACAATAGAAGAGACAATGATTTATTTCAGCGTTGATTTCTTTTATCACATTCCCAGTGGCTCAGAAGTTTACATTCACATGGTTAGTGTTTGGTAGTATTGCCTTTAAATTGTTTAATTTTGGTCAAACATTTCGGGTAGCCTTCCACAAGCGTCTCACAATAAGTTGCTGAAATTTTGGCCTATAGAACTTGTGTAACAATCAGGTTTGTAGACCTCTTTGCTCGCACACACTTTTTCAGTCCTGCCCATACATTTTTTTATGGCATTAAGGTCAGGGCTTTGTGATGGCCTCTCTATTACCTTTGTTGTCCGTAAGCCATTTTGCCACAACTTTGAAATATGTTTGGGGTCATTGTCCATTTGGAAGACCCATTTGTGCCCAAGCTTTAACTCCCTGGCTAATGTCTTGATGTTGTTCCTCCACGTAATTTTAATGTAAATGTAATCTGTTGAGTATCTCCACGTTATTTTCCTTCCTCATAATGCCATCTATTTTGTGAAGTACCCCAGTCCCCCCATAGCAAATATGATAATGCCATCCCTATGCTTCACAGTAGGGATGGTGTTCTTTGTCTTGCATGTCTCCCTCTTTTGCCTCCATACATAACGATGGTCATTATGGCCAAACAGTTCCATTTTTGTTTCATCAGACCAGAGGACATTTCTTCAGAAAGTAAGCTCTTTGTCCTCATGTGCAGCTGCAAACTCCAACCTGTCTTTTTACGGTGGTTTTAAAGCCGTGGCTTCTTCCTTGCTTCCTTGCATTTCAGGTCATGTTGATATAGGATACGTTTTACTGTCGTTATGGATACTTTTGTACCTGTTTCCTGCAGCATCTTCACAAAGTCGTTTGCTGTTGTCCTTGGATTACTTTGTATTTTTCGCATTAAAGTACGTTCATCTCTAGGAGACAGAATATGTCTCCTTCCTGATCGGTATAATGACTTCGTGGTCCCATGGTGTTTAAATTTGCATATTATCATTTGAACAGCATGGTACCTTAGGGTATTTTTGCTCCCAAGGATGTACCAGACTTGTGGAGGTCTCCAATTCTTTTTCTGATGTTTTGGCTGATCTCTTCTGATTTTCCCATGATTGTCAAGCAAAGAACCAAGCAGGCCTTGAAGGTAGGCCTTAAGATACTGCCACACGTTCTCCTCCAATTAACTCAAATGATGTCAATTAGCCTTGTAGAAACTTCTAAAGCAAAGATTTCATTTTCTGGAATTTTCCAAGCTATTTAAAGGCACAGTCAACTTGGTCTATGTAAACTTCTGACCCACTGGAATTCTGATTTTTCTTTTGATAGTTTATTTTAATTTATTCTTGGATGAGGCAGAAAGTACAGCTGACAGAAGACTGTCAAAACTGCTGTACTTGAAAGCTTATAAAGGTTTGAGTCCCTACACTGTATACAGCAGACATTTAACAAAACATTAGTTAATAGAAGCACTGATTAATTCACATTTTCTTTTACCAAAAAATGGAATTCTCAGGACCCCCAAGATGGTCCATATTTTTGCTCTGTCCTTTTGTGACCAAATCTCGCTGATCATATAGCTATTCGTAGTAAAACTGCCACAAGTAATTACTGTACAGTTATAATTACAGTGTAATATTTAATAACAGTTGCTATTTTTTACCGTGTCATTACGTCTCTTTCTTCCTAAAATACTTGATATTTAGAATAGACACCAAAACTGGTAGTTTTGTTTATAACATTTTAATTGATGCTGTATAAGTTTTCATTGAATTACAATTATTAATATGACAATTGACTTTTGAATGGTATTGTAAATTCTATCTTATTTGTATAGGGAATTTCTGCTGTATAAAACCTAGCTGTACCTGAAACATAAGAACTGGAGCAGCCAGAGTAAGGCATGCCAAAGATCATGTAGGCGCTGTTTTTTTAATTAAAACTCCCTTTATTCGAAGTATATTATTAGTATGTCAGCTGTTGGACAGCCATGAAATAAGAGAACTGAAAAAAGGAAGAGGAACCAGAGAATGAAGCTATTTCTAAAGGCGTTTGCTGTAAATAAGGCCATTGTTGGGGACTGACTCAAAGTGCGCAGACGGCAGACCAAATATCTGCTGTTATCATGTACTCGTAAGTTTGCTTTATGATTTCAATTTACTTTTGGTGGAAGTAATTCTACATTAGACAGTGTGAATAACTTCTACAGTTACTTAAGGCATTTATTATTATTATTAATTCCATTTTTACTTTTTCAGATCCACTAAGTCCACATTTAAAGAGCTCCATGAATTGTCCTCTCCATACAAAAGTTTGCATGACAATTATGTTTCCAACAAACAGGTAAGAATAGTACTTTCCATCTTCCGTCTGTCTGTGCTGAATTTTTTCATTGAGTCAAAAACAGGTCTAAATACACTGCTCTTAAATGTCATTTCACAGGGCTCAAGCAGGCTTACGTCTCTTCTGTTGATATTGGGGTGTTTGACCATCCTTGGTGGTTTACTTGCCATTGCTTTGGTCGAGAAAGTAAGAAACCAGGAAAAGATAGATGAAGCCGTGAATCCGAACCACACCGGCACACATGAGCCAGTTCAAAATGCTGAACAAAGTTGTGTTGGAAAGAGTAGGTGAGTTAACTTTGGTGTTCAGAATGCACCTCAAGCTGTTTCTTGATAAGATTCTTTTTAACACTTTGGAAACGCTGGGGAATTCCAGATCAACACAAAAGTACAGAGACACCACACCGAATCTGATTTTGCATAGGACACAATAGCAAAGTCTAAAATGCTACTTCTCCTTCTACATTCTTCAGCATTTCTGTGTAATTTACCCGTTAAAATGTGAATAAAGTCATTCGGAGTGGTTTGGTGTGAAATGCTCTTACAGAGTCAGTTGTTCACAGTGCTGGCGATAGGAACCAGATGTCTGAAAAGTTTAATACCTCTTAAAGCTCCCTTACAGAAAATTATTACATAACATGTTTGCCAATATGCTGCATGATGCCTGAGACATTGTTTAATGACAGTTTTGAGAAGCGTTTGGTTTAAAATAATAATAAAAAAAAAGTATGCACAGCTAAGAGACATTGTTGTGGGCCAAATATGGGCACCACTCAAATTAATCATTTTGTTGTTTTTTTGCATTATACAAACTTAAATGTGATATTTTTACAAATTTAATACACAGTTATAGCAATAAATAGCAAATAAATGTTAACCATGCATTATCAAAACTTTGTTTACATTTGATTGAATTATGCAGAAATCTTGGAAAAATCAGTGGAATTTCCCTTTTTAATGTGTTTACTATTACCTGCAATTCATATCAAACTAATTTCTGACTGTTCACTTAGCTGGTAAAGATTTGATGTATGTATTTGAAAGTATCACCTAAAGATGTGAGTGGTTATTCCTCACGGGTCAGGATTGTCCTTGTTGAGAGTATTCCTTACTGGATGGACTATGGGAGCAATGCCACTTTTGGAGTACCTTTATACGAGGCATGGAAAGACCTCATCTCTACTGCAACCAAGCAAATCGATGTTTCCTCGTTCTATTGGTCTCTTACTGGGCAGGACATTAATGTCAACTCCTCCACTGACGAACCTGTAAGTATTCACCTGACAAAGCCTATATTTAAATTTCTTTATATGAAGTACATGGTATACACAAGGTCTGTTGTTCTGATTTACTGTGTTTAACTATGAGATCAAAGGTTTCAGTTATCAAACTTATCAGCAAACATGTTGGCAGCCCAGTCAATTAACTTAAATGAGGATAGTTCTTACTTTCTAACTGTTGTCTGTTATCTTGCACTGACTTGTATTTTGTAAGTTAAAGGGCCCATATCATAGAAAAATTATTTTCTCATGTAAAAAAAAACAAAAACATATTTACATGTATTTGCCCATTCATCCTACAGCTATTTAGGCCTTATACAATGATGTTATAAAGAGTGTTTCAGCATTGACTGCTTTTTGAATGCACAATACAGGGCAGCATATCAGAGGTCGTATATCAGGTTACATACATCAGTCTTAAGGTAACAGTAACAAAAGGGTCAATGACAAATGAGGTTTTTCAAAATGACAATTCTTAAAAATCATATTAAAAAGGACATAATATGCTTTTATATGATGCAGTACCCTGGCCCCTCTTTTGTAAAAGCATGTCAAAATAAAAGTCCTCTGTTTTGGTTTGTGCTGTCTGACATTTGAGGAAGAAAGAACTTTCAGACAAAAGCTTTTCAGTGAGTTAAGCACTTTTAAAGTTTTTCCCTTGTTTTTAAAGTTTTCAAACATAAAATGCCAAACTATCTTATTTTGAATTTTATATAACTAAATTACCTTTTCTGAGTTTACTTGATCAACATATATGACTGGACGGTTGCACCACCTGTCTTTTGGAGGAAAACAAAAAACTTGAATATGGACGCACTGAAAATTGTACTGTTGTATAATTTGCTATTTGTCATATATTTATTAAATTATTTTTTGGAAAAAATAATGGACTTGGACACAGAAAATGCATGTCATGTCATTGACCGAAAAACAGCAGGTTTAATCCTGAAGGATGCAGAAACTTGAAGAAATAGTCTTGTAAAAATGAACTATGACTTATATTGGTACATAAAAGCACACAAACTTCATAAGTGGCTCTCAAGAAAGAAAAATGTAGGATATTTATTTATTTGTTTAACAAGGACAATACACACAAATCAACATCACTATTTCATAAAATTAAATGTGCCAGATTTTTTTCATTTGCAATCCTGATGTGTTACATGGGACTAATAAGTATTACATGTACTATGTGAACATATATGTGTCATGAAAGTGCCAATATTCACCAAGGTAGTGCTTTTTGTTAATTACTTTTTTTTCTCAGGACAGTAAGTAAACAGCAGCTCAGCCTAATATAAGTTATTGCTATTTTGTATGTGTTTGTGTCACAGGGTAAAGACATCCTGGAGCAATTCAAAGCACTGCCAAAGAGAAACGTTTCTGTGAGAGTTGTGGCCAGCATCCCATCCGTAGCGTCCAACTCAACAGACCTGAGAACTCTGAAAGAAAATGGTCGTGAAGTATAGATATATGTTTATGACCAAATTCATTGTCACATCAGAACCTCATAACTCCATTTTTTCTGCTTTTATTTTTCTGACTCCTTCTGAAAACAGTATTTGCCCTTTACACTGTGTAAACATTTAATAATGAATAGACAAACAGACTGTTTATGTGAACTATTTAGCTGAAAACGATGCAAGTGCAAATGTTGGACCCCACCTATGGGCGGGCTAACTCTTATTCTGAGTTATTTACATGCTTCAAAATGGTACTATATTTCAGTCACCAGTATAGAGATTAAAATAAAATAGGTGTGAATTTTGTGACTTACACAGACAACTAATCCAAAAACACTTACTTGTATGGTACCAGCGTGAGTATCTATCTGATTGCTGTGAAAATTTACGGACCAAAAGGATGTTCTCCTTAAATGTTTAACTACATAAAAAAGTCAGTGTTACATTTTACCCCACTTTAGTTTGTGCCTCACTCTCCTCTCACTATTATAAAGTTATATATAAGCAATATACAGAGTGAGAACTTGAAGACTGGAAATGCCCTTGGTTAAATCTTTTTAGTTTAAGAGGTGAAAACATTGTTCCTTCCTTTTGTAGGCGTGCATGTAAGAAGAGTTAACTTTGGCCGTCTGACCAGAGGAATTCTGCACACAAAGTTCTGGATCGTGGACGGAAGACACATCTACATTGGCAGTGCCAACATGGACTGGAGAGCTTTAACCCAGGTATAGATGAGAAGAGCTCTAACCACAAAGCAGATTTCAGCTTCCTCTCTGGAGACGAGTTTGACACACATTAACTTATTTTTGGGATGTGTTTTTAAATGGAGGTCAAGGAACTTGGAGTGGTGATTTACAACTGCACCAGTCTGGCCACCGACCTTCATAAGATCTTCCAGTCATACTGGGTGATGGGTCAGCAGAACGCTACAATCCCGGACCCCTGGCCCTCCTCTTATGACACCTCCATCAATGCAGAGAAGCCCCTTCATGTGAACCTCAGCGGGGTGCCCAGCAGAGTTTACATCTCGGTAATATTTCATTAATACCTTAGGTTAAAATATTTTACCACTAAGAGGGTTTTTTTTGTACTAAAGAATTTTACGACCCATAGAAGAGTTTTTATTAAAGGGTTGAATTTATTCTACTACTTAGTTTTTTTTTACTACTACTAAAAATGTACTACCCTTTGAAAGTTTTTAACGGTTCTATTACTCAGAGGGTTTTTACTGAATGATTTTACTACCCATAGAAAAATTTTAATACTGTTTTCTACATTTTACAGTATAATATTTTGAATAATAGAAGATATTGTAACTATGATATAACACATTGTTTTTAGAGACCAAAAGGGAGTAAAAAATATTTCAGATTCAGATTCTTCAGTGTAGACTTCCCTTTGCCTTTATGCAGCTTTGAACACTGGTGACATTTTTTTCAAACAGCTTCATGAGGAGCCACCTGAGAAGCTTTTCTAAGAGTGATGAAGTTCTACACATGCTGAACACTTGTTAGCTAATGAAAACTGGTCTTAGAAATAATTTCAAGCCTTTAAGCATAAGCCTTTAGAAATCTTTAGGATTATCAATACATACATTTAATCTGCATTCAAACTTTTGCCTGATACTTTATCTCTCATAATGCTTGTCACTCTCAGACATGAAAGGGTCAGACATTGCACATGCTGTAGAGAGGAAATTTTGATCAAGCAGGATATATTGATCAATATTTTACAGCATTATGGTCTGTATTTAGTCTCCTTATCTATTCCCAAACCCAGGCCTCCCCTCCTGTCTTCTGTCCGGATTCACGCACCAAAGACCTGGAGGCAATTCTCTCAGCAATCGGCCAGGCAAAGCAGTTCGTTCATGTCGCAGTTATGGAATATTTTCCTGCTTTCAAGTTCTTTTTCCATCACAGGTACAATTTGATACTGTAACAGCTTTAGAATGTATATCAGTTCCTTTAGAAACTCACTGCATGCTTGTTTGTTCAGGTACTGGCCAGTTATTGAAAATGCCCTAAAGCAGTCAGCCTTTGAGAGAAACGTTGCAGTGCGTCTCCTGGTCAGCTGCGGTCGTGACAGTGACCCCTCCGTACTGCCTTTCCTCAAATCACTAGATGCCCTGGACTCCTCATCTGACAATATCAGTATAGAAGTGGTAAGCTGACAATCCTGTTCAGACCAGCTGGTTACATTTTTTGCTTTCAGGACGAATTTCATTACCTCACTTGTCCATCTTTGTTTCCTTTCCTTACATCTTTTCATTAGTGTAACTTAACTCACTTGTTGAACAATAAAGCTTTTTTCTTTATAAAAATTCAACTGAAGGATGCCTGCAGAGTGCAGTATACCTGGATGTGGAAAATAAGAAGCAGCAAATGCTAAAGCCAGAGTGACTGGCTAGCTCTCTGGATAACACTGTGGCTCTGCATACAAGAGCCCAGGGTTCAATTTCCCAACTAGACAGATTCTGTGAGCAAACAACTACCATTCTTACCACTAAGAAAAAGAGTGTATTTATTCTGGATTTTTCTGGTTAAAAAGCATGTTGGAGCAAGTTAAACTGCAGAAAGTTTTAAAAAAAAGTTAGTGGCAATTGAAAGAGACTGGTTTTTCCATCTGAATTTACATGACCAAATTGTAAGGCAAATTATTCAGCAACTGCATGAAATAAATATACATTTTTATTTTATTTTTTTTATTTTTTTGTAAAAGCTCCCCTCAAATTAACAGAACATGTTTTATGATCGTACACATAATGCTATATGCTTACATTTTACTGGTGAAAGCCAAAAATCTTAGATGCTCTTTGTATTATTTTATGAAAATAATTTTTACAGAGCAGATCACTGAAGAGATGCCATCTGTTTATAGTTTATAGCCCAGATTTGTGGAAAAATGGGTCGACTTTCAGTAGACAAAAAAATTCAGTGTTGAGTTCAGCTTCTTCTACTATAAGGGTTTAAAATTACATTACCCATCTATTTGACTGGAAAGAATACAATTACAGCTCTCATATGACACCCCCTTTTTGAATGTAGCTTATGAAATATGAAAGTTATGAAGAATATGAAGAAGTGTGTTTTGGAACCACCGGTGGTTTGGCACCGGTGGGTGCAAAATTTCCTTCTAAGATATGTCATCAGAAGGGGGTTTTGCAAGTCTTTAAAAGGCTTTTTGGCTACACAGGGTTGTACTGTAGGCCTACATCATGCACTAGAATAAAAAAGACTTTCACATAAGATTCCCATGTGTATTATCTCTCTGGAAGCTTCCTCTCTCCTCATTTGCTCTGAGCATATTTAAATAATTGATATGTCCATAAAGATGACTGACTTCAATTGATTTCTGGGTCATGGGTCAGAGGACATGGGATTGATTGAAATCATGGGAATCACCTGGAGTACTGAAAGTATTGCAGTTTTAACAAGTGCTTCTCTGAGCTCTGTGAAAGCCCCTCTGATCACTTTCAGTTCACACCATATCAGCAGTCACTTACAGTGTGCTCTAATTTACAAACCTTAGATGTTTTTCAGCTCAGACCAGATGGTCCAGATAGCAGTTATAACACAGTTAATGTGATTTTTTTCTACTTTCTGCAGAGACTCCATATTGTTCCGGTGGCTAACCAGACAGACATTCCTTATTCCAGAGTGAATCACAACAAATACATGGTTACAGATAAAGTGGCATATATAGGTGAGTTTTGGACAGAAAATAACCTGATACTGCAAAACGTCTCAAAAGGTCAATTAAAAAGCTTGAAAAATTAATGACATCAATCCAGACCTCAACATCATGGAATGTGTTTGGGGTTACTTTAATTATGAGAAACAGAAAATGCTTGTAAGACTGAACTTTAAAGACTGAATATGCAGATTTTTATGAAAGCAAGTCTCCTGAAAAGAATGAAAGCTGTAATAAAGGGAAAGAGTGGACACACTAAGTACTGAAAATTTTGATATTATATTTAGTTGATGAGGCTTCTGTGTAATTTTCAGTTTAAAATATGTTTTCTGAACACATCATTTTTCAGTGGTTTATTTATTTATATATTTCCCAAGGGACCTCTAATTGGTCTGCTGACTACTTCAACACCACCGCTGGAGTGGGCCTGATGGTTTCCCAAGATGCCGTGCATTCTTCATCGCCTGGAGACACATTATTGGGCCAGCTGAAAGCTGTATTTGACCGAGACTGGGGCTCCAAATTTGCAGTGCCACTTGAAAAACTGGGTCACAATCCTGACTGTTCCTTCTCCAAGAGATACATGGACAAATGAACTGCTGCTTTACTTTCATTAACAAAGATATTTACTTATTAGCCTATATAAAAGGTTAATGGATCAATGAAAGTGTAAAATTGAACGAAATATGATGCACATTTTAAATGCATTCAATGCCATTTGTCCAATTTGTCAATGCCTCTAAATTCTGGCACCCCTCTAAATTCTCACAACCAAATACAAAACCTAACTTGTCTCTAATTGATCTCCACATTCATAGTTAATCATCTGTAAGCAAGACAAGACATGAGTCTTCATGAATTCCATGACGCTCTGTTTCAGTGTAAATATGAGTTAGATAAAATGTTATTGTTAGGAGACATGGAATGGAGTGACAGAGTCCATCAAATACCAGGAGATGAAGATCTATCTGCCTCTGCTAAAAGTGGGTCAGAGCCTGATGTTCCAGCAGGACAGTGATCCAAAGCAAACCTCCAAATCCAAAGGAGCATTCTCAGAGAAGATGCAATGTTACCTTAACAACTGGAAGATGCACAGTATTTTCAGAAAAAAATATTTATTTTGTATATTTTTTCTTTCTTTGAATTATTTCACCTCATTAAAGGATGTTCCTCTGATGTTTTAGTGTAAAATCAAGCTGATTTTCCTCATCTTTACCAAGGCTGCCACTTCTAAAGGGCGCTGTAACCTGTGCATTGTGTGCATGTGTTATATCTTTCAGCTGCTTCTTAGCAAAATAAAACAAATAAATGTAAATATTTTGATTTATACTATATTTTGGTTGATAGGTAAGAAAAAGATGATTTTAATTATTGCAATAAAAGATTAAAAAAGGAAACATACAAGTGAGCTAATTGATTATGCATCTAAATCAATACAGAGAAAGTTTCTGGTTTAAAGATGAATCTATGGACAAAAGCAAATGAAAGGGAATGAACAGGGTTAGATATGAAGCGCCTGCTTTCTGGCAGCAGTAAGTACTGATTTATGTCGAAATAATGACTTGTTTTCTCAAAAAACTGATTACCTATGTTGAAATAATATTAACTGTGCCAAAATTATGACTTATGAGGGAACGAGTTATTGAGTAAATAAATTATTACGAGAAAATGTCCTTATTTTGATATACTAAGTGATATTTGAAAAAACAGAAAACAAAGGTAAAAACACGATTTTGTTTCTGCCCCACCTGGCGGGAATGGGCATCCACAGGCTGTGCATGTGTTCTCAAAAATACCAAAGATACTGTATTTGCTACATTTTAAAGGGTGATGTTTCAGTGGTTTACTGGCTCTTCAGTTTCGTCGTCATTGCTGAGTGAATTCAGACGGTTAAACGGTCCGTTATTAGACCCGGAGGCTCTGCGTCATCAGGAGGAGCTGTTTAGCCAAACCGGAGAAGACCGTTCATAATACACATTAAACCTTTTGGTCAAAATGATTTTAATACCATCGCTCTGTATGTTAGTCTGTATGATGCAGTTTTACAGTAAAACCTCGATAATCACTTAAATCTAAAGCCTGACAGAGTACTAGACTATCATAACACCATACGGCAACGTTACTGAATAATGAGGCTGTGACCACCTTGTTCAGACATGATTAACAGCGCCACCTTTTGACAACGCTGTAGCAACGCTGTGACAATGTTGTGTGTTTGCTGGGTAATAAAGTAGCCTGTTAGCTATATAACGAGCAGCTAGCTAACTCAACAAAACCGCACTCTGACCTGGAGGATATCCAGTCTATCCTCGGCTGTTTACTTCTTTTAAAGGTTAACTGTAAAACAGACCTTCATTAGTGAGATCAGAGGTGAGATCCCGCGCTGTGACATTTTTTTTCTATTTCAGTGACGCACACAAAAGCTACTTAAGTGCTAATAGCGCCCCCTTCTGGGGAGAATCGTTAACCATTAATAAATAAGCACGTGGGTTACAAGCAAGTTTTCTGAGGTGCTTTATATTTACAGCTTTTCTTACAGAGAGATAGATTTTCTGTTCTGCAGAGAGCATCCTTTATAAAACACATTTTGTGAATTTAAACCACCAGCATTGTTTTAATGCCTGAATGAAATTTAAATCAGAGTTTAAAGTAATGGTGCAACATAATCAAATTTAATCTAGATTTACAGTAAAAGTAATCCAGGATTAAAATGACGGTTTAAATGTAACCCTGATTATTTTTAAACTCGGTTTACAGTTTGGTGCAACCTGATTAATAGATAAACCTTGATGCAATTCAAGTTTAAGCTTAATTTTTGCTGGTGCAACTCAAACTACAAGTCATATTTGGAGAAACAGAAAACAAAGGTAAAAACAGATATGGTTTCTCCCCCACCTGGCGCGAATGGGCTTTAATAGTTAGTCTGTGAATGTGTTCGTTAAGTGTAAAGACTCTGTGCTTTAGGCCTAGCGGTTCCTCCGCTTCTTCAACAGACGAGTTGAAAAAGACAGTCGAACTGCATTGAAAGGCGTTTCTGCAGTTCTGTGGTGGAGACGGCAGGTGGCAGTGCTGGTTTATCTGCGCCTCCAGTGGCCGAAGAGGTTACAGTGAAGCGGTTGAGGCTGAAGCCGACGTGTGCTTACAGGAGCGCTCTACTTTAACTAGCTGCTGGATTTACAGCGATAACGATGGTGTTGTTAGAAAACGACGCGGTAAGGTTCTTCTCAGTAATGCCACTGATGGCGTTTTAATGTTGTTTTCTTTTAATGTGTCGGATATACAGATGGAGGAACCGATTTTTGTATTTAAATCAGTGCCGTTTGCACGCGAAGCGAGGCTAAGCTAGCTAACCTAGCAGTGTGCGCCGTTACCATATCGGGCTGGACTAGCAGCTGTAGTTTGACTGCTAGGTTAGACAGATAGCTGACAAAGTGTGTATTAAGACCAGAAACATGTATATCCATTATTTGTACCATTTTTTTTTATCACTTTAAAGCCTTTTATCTAGCGTAGTTAAGGAGCATGTCATGAGAGTTCATAAGTAACGTTAAGTTAGCTGGCTAAGCTAACAGTCCCTTTTTATTCAGCGTTTCTAGTAGGTGCTGCTAAAACTTAAGGTAACTTGCGCAACAAAATTACTGTGTTTAAGCATAGTTACCTTTGTTTTGTGTTGCTAACACCGCAGAGAGGTAGTTAGCTGAAAATGACTAAATATCTGATAGCCCAAACATCTACATAATGTTAGTCTACTGCGTTTTCATTCATTCATGTAATTTACGAAATACATTAACCTATCTGTTTTTCCTCGTATTATCAGTGTTTGGTTTTTTCGGTATATGGAGCAGTGTAGTTGTTTTTTCTTCTGGCAGCTAAATCATTTCACATTTTATGGTTTAATTCCTGTTATCTACGCTATAGTTCTTCATGTAACCACCCGACCACAGCTTGTGATATGAGCACCATCTGTTAACCTGCTAGCAGTCAAGCTAGTTTGCACTACCAGTGGCGAATAAACATTGGCACTGCTTTTTTAGTGTAGAGTTAGGCTTAATCTCTGTATCAGCAATGTTGTGCCGTCGTTGGTAATGAAAACACAAACTATAATTTTAACGAAGTGCAGATGATCCTGATGACTCTGATTTTGCTCTCTTGCAGTTCCTGACGGAGCTCACCCGTCTGTTCCAGAAGTGCAGGACCAGTGGGAGTGTGGTCATCACCTTAAAGAAATGTACGTGGCCAGTAGATTAAGTGTTTGTGCACCAGCCTAGTCATCAGTGATCTACCCAACAACACTTGTGATGTTGACATGTTTATGTTTATTTGTAGATGATGGCAGGACAAAGCCAGTACCGAGGAAAGGCCATCCAGAGACTTTTGAACCAGCTGATAACAAATGTCTCATTAGAGCATCAGAGGGCAAGAGAAAAATTAGCACAGTGGTGAGTGGTGCTCTCAGTTTGATTAAGGCTTAAAGAGGAGATCTGTTGATGTTGCAAAATTTCTGCATAAACCAATCATTGAGATGTAAACTGTCATTCAGAGTACTACTCTGCAATGCATGGATTTTTGAAAATAAGTTTTGACCAAAACCTTATTTCAAAACTACATAAAAAATGTATCTGGCATCTGCCAGTGTATTTTTAACCATTTCATATGATGGGTGTCTGTGATGTAGGTTTTAGAGGCTTTAAACTCGTCAGATGTGTGGTTCTTGTCAATACTGTGACTGAGTCGCTAAGTTTCTCTAAAATGGAGCATTTCACATTAAACCACTCTGAATGACTTTTTTTTTTTTACATCTCAACCATTAAATTATGCAGAAATGTTGAAATATCTGTTCAGCTGCCCTATATATTCCTGTGCAAAATAGTGAAGCTAAATAAACTGTTAAAGATGAAAATTCTGTTGATGTAGTACAGAGATAATGCTGTTAGACGGAATACTATCATTACATGAAGATATTGAACATCGTATATACGTTAAGACATTACATAAAGAATATACATATTTAAGGCATGACTTTGGTCTTTTCAGGTCAGCACCAAAGAAGTAATAAAATTCCAGATGGTAAGTCTGTTTTTACCCTTTACTTTTAATTCTCTTTAATAATTTTATGTGTATGTAACTCTGCTGAGGATATTAGACTGTTGCATTTATCTTCTAATTTCATGTTTCAACTTACCGAAAGGGGTCAGGTTTCATGATGCTTGCCTGTGACTTATTATGGGCATTATATTGTCTCCAGTTGGGTCGGGCATGGCTTCACATGTGAGAATACAGTGATGCATGATCAGTCTGTGCTTGATAATGACATTAATAAGCTTAGGAAATAGCCACAATACAACACTTGTGATCCAGTCACTCAAAGCATGGCCACTGCTATGGCATATTTGCCCAGCTTAAACAACATGAAACCTTTTCTTTTTTTTCTTGTTGCCCTGACTTTGAAATTACTTTGCAACCCTCTCCAGACTTGAAAAGAGCACTTTTTTTCCACAAATGTACTTTTGCTTCACTGTATGTACATCACTGAGATCAGGTACTGTTGTTGGACGATTAGTTCTGAATTGCAAAGCCACTCCAGCTCTTTCCAAATGTATTGGTAGGAGTTCTGTCTTTCCAGAGAATGCAGTTCCGCTGCTCTACAGCCCAGTTCATCTGCAGCTGCTCCAAGTGTGCCATTCTACTGCCAGTACTTCTCTATGGAATTAGAAATAGTATAAGCTGTGTGTGCAATTAGAAGCCTGTTTCAGCAGATACTTATATACATAATATATAGTGTATATTTCATGGAAAAATGAAGACTCACTAGAATGAGGCTATGAGCTTGTGAACCCTCATGATAAACAAACAGATGTGGACATATGTTCAGGTAAAAGTAGTGTCAGTTATTGCAGCTGAAGGCACATGAAGTTTGTACTAAACTCTTAAGTGCATGATACAAGTGAATCTGTTAAATTGTGTCTCCTATGTTAGTCTACCAAGTTGTTATTAATTGGAGTCCTAAATGTTTTTGTGTTCATTCGGACAGGCATATTCCAATTTGTTGAGAGCACACATGGATGGCCTGAAGAAGAAAGACAAAAAGAGTAAAAGCAAGAAGACTAAAGCTACACAGTGATGGACAGTGAAAAGAGAGAGAGAGGAGCTGTTGATTCAGCCTGTCCCAGGGCGACCTTCACCTGTGCCATCCTCTACTGGACTCAAACCTTCACCCTCAAACACCTTGCCAACTGAGACCACCTCTCTCTCTTCCCAGCTCCAGTTGTGGCATGTTGTCATGAACATGCTTTTCGTCATGCCATTTATATTTGGTGCTCCACAGACGCTGAGAGAGTGAAGGAGGTCCATCTCGTTTTGAGCTGAGAAACAGTCATCTCTGTGTGAATGGTGTAAGAAGGTTGTGTACAGTGTGTCCCTCATTTGAAACCGTTCATTTGGTCAGAACAGCAGGGCTTAGCTTGGTGAGATGGTGCCGTATGATATGAGGGCTGAGTCTGTCATTGGTTATGGCTTTATCAAATTATTTTCAAACTACATTTTGATTTTAATTTTAAGAGTTTAGTGGCAAGTTATGTCCTTTCCTTATGGTAGAATTTCATCTCTGATGTACAGGTGTTACGTTCTGCATTCTTCATTTTTACAGTTTTTTGGACTAAGAAGAATATGTGTATTTGTATATTTGAAAGACGTGTTCTTTATTACCAGATTAATACAGAAGTTAAACTTTCGTTCATCGTTACTCGTGCCTTGAATGTGATGCTTCAGTTTAAATACCACAACCAGTCTATGCTAATAAATACAGTTATTGCGGTTGACATCATTCATCTATTTGTAACAGTGCAATGAGCTAGTTGTACAGCGTCTGAATGATGTTAGTTTATTTTTGGTCCCAAATTAAAATTTTGCCCAGTCCAGTACTTCACTGAGTTTTTTTTTTATTGGTCTGTAATAATTGGTTCTGTGTAATAAGGTTGAACTTGCCCTTTATCAGGCACTTTGGGAGTGATTTGTTAACCTTAATTTAGTGTTTACGAAAGAAGTCACTGAACAGACTGATCATTTTGGTGTTTCAAGAAACGATATGTGTTTGTAAAAACAATGAATTCAAAGAAATAAATACACTATGTACACAACTACGTCACGTAGAACACAATCCTGTGGAACTTGGACACAAGTCTATAGAATGAGCCGAGGCTTGGTCTAAAGTGCTGTGTTCCTCTTGTCTGGCCGCTCTTTGGTGGACACCAGCATGTGGGTGCGTTTTGTCCCCTCTTCCTCTAAGTAGCCTTGCCGCATCAGCCGGGTGATGTACTGGAACAGCGTCTGACAATAGAAGACAAAAGCATTTAGATAAGGTTTTTGGGGAACTCTTTGTCTTGGTAGGCATAGTCTAAGTTGTCACATCACATGATGTGATTATGGTTACAAAGGATCAGGTGTGGGAGAGCTTAAAATGAAGCTAGCAATGGGAATAGCCTGTCACACTGACTTAGTTCTTGTATCTATATGCTTAGTGGAAAGCTCCTGTATGTACTTACCTTCCATGCCTTCTCTAGTTCAGGAGTCCATTTTTCCTTCAGAATCGGTCTAACTGCGCAAATGAACTCTGTTCCTACATACTGGGAATAAAAAGCAAACTTTACAATTACATCTTATTAAATTTGTACCACAATATTTCAACGTGGACATGTTAATTGTTGTGTTTTCCAAATGGTCCGGTACTGCAGCATCCTCGTAGCTGCCTTCATTACTAATGAGGTCTTGGCAGAGCCAGTTCTATCTGTTCGTGATGTACCAAAAACATGTCAACCGCTAGAGGGCGCCAGAGAGAGTCCTCACTGAATAGAAGTGAATGGAGGTAAACGGCTAATTATGTTAAATATGATTCTAGTCATTCATACAGGAACTTACCATTACCTTTCCTTTTTTCTACAATAGGTTTTGGGGGCAGTAGGACACTAGCATTATGGCTACTGAGTGCTCATAGCTTGGCGAGCTTATCCGCTTATTAAAGCAGTCTTCTGGGTTAGTTAAACGCTTTATGGTGCTCCCGAGACCCCATAATGAGCAGATTCATATAGAACTTCCGTTTAAATCTGTAGTGTGTAAATGGTTCATCCTCTATACAAACGGATGCTCTCTTTTCTTAATGAGGAACAGCGTAAAACATTTCAACACTGCTATCATACTTTTGAACTCTTCTTGAACTTTCTAACATTAATGCTGCGTGTGTGTGTGTGTGTGCGCGCGCATTTAGTTTGGTAGTATGCGGTTTTGGACGAAGCCTGAACCACTTGACTATGCTAAGCAATCAGCACTCAGTGGCTGTAACGTCAGTGTCCTACTGACAAAACACGTTCGTTGTAGAACGACAGATAATGGTAACGGTTTTTATGCATTTGTTTGTAATACATTCTTCTACGTCTACTCTTCTACACAGGGGTAGTTCTCCATCACCAGAAATTCTTCGCTCTTACCCCATAATACCTCGGATGGGCGTTGTAGCGGTAATGGCTTTTGCCAAGCTCCACAGCAAGCATGTCCAGACGCTCTAACTGGTCCAGTCTGGCTACACTCTTCTCGATGAAAGACATCACTCTGCAGAATGAACACACAAAACACTGCACTAACTTACACAGCTTACACAGTAGCGTATCACACACCAGATCACTAAATCTTTACTGTTTTCACTTTGTAGTATAACAGGCATCTACACTATCACACACTGAATTACTACAATCAGAAATATTAGGAAATATAATTTAATGTAAACGTAAGAAAAACTCAGGTCTGACTGCACTTTTTAAAATGAAAATTTTAAGTACATTTTTAGTACTTTGGGGTGCTTTGGGGGTCAAAAGTTCATGACACTTATAACTAGAAAGCTTCTACCAGGCCCAGGTTTACTTAGACCCACCCTACCTCACAACACAACTGACTGGCTCAAACACAATGACAAGGGCAGAAACTAATTATTTCTTAATGAGTAATTAACAGGAATGTACATAAATTTCCACCAAAAATTCAGCCACTGGAAATTTCAGCCACCAACTTAAAGAAAAAAAAGCACAATTTGTTGATAAAAAAAAAAATCTATGTTTAAATCTAAATCGAAGACTCAATAATTGTAATAGTTAATAGTTAAATTGGGAAACACGGATTAAAAATACTGGTGTTTCTTTCTCTCTGCTACGCCAGTCAGCACAGATGTGTTCAAACAGTTTGAGCACCAGCAGATAAACAGTGAAAATCTTGGCTGTTTAATGGTTTCTACACCTAAAGCAGTTTGTGATCTCTGTTCATGTCAAATATCAAGAGAGGGTACAGTACCCCACTTCTCCACTGCATGTTTCATAGCACCTAAAATTAGGAAAAAAATCACAAATGACAGTGTAATTAAAAAATAATGGAATTTGTAAACTTTTTTTTGTTTAATGTTACAGTTTTCAGTTTTGGTCTTCAGCCCAGCGTGTTCTGAATTACAGTATTGGTTTTGGCCAAGAATTTTCATTTTAATGCGTCACTATTAATTGGAATGATAAAATGATTATCTTAATTCAAGTGTTATAGTGCATACCTGTGTGTGTGTGTATGTGTGTGTGTGTATGTGTGTGTGTGTGTGTGTGTGTGTGAGAGAGAGAGAAAACAATTTTATTCTTTATTTCTATCAATATTCTTTTAAAAATAAATGCATTCAAAAGCATTAATTTATATTTCTCAACACAAAATTGTAGTTGTCTTGGAAGCAAGTATTTTGATTAAAATGTCTAGGTTTATGACCACAATCATTCACGTCCAAACAGAATGGTAACCTATATTCAGTTTTATGCAAAGCATGAACAATAAATTACATATTATGTTGTTTTTCTGAGAGAAAATAAGTGAACACATCCTGTATAGAGATCACACAAATATGGCATTTGTAGTGTGTAATTACTATTTATTGAGTTTAATATACTGAAAAAATAAAACATGCAGTATAAAATGTGTCAACTTTTGCACAGGTCACATTTTATGTCTGCCAGTAAGTTCAATTCAGCAAACAAACAGTAATTATGCATTTCAATGTGCAGTTCTCTGTAAAGGAATTGGAAAATCACCAAAACATAATTTGACCGGGGGACCAAACTTTTGCTTAGAACTGTATATTGCAGAAATATTTGCAACTTACACTTCACAGTTTGTGCGGGTGTGTATGTGTAATCACAGAGCGAATCAGTGTTTCCCTCGTCATTTTTTTTCATATGCACTACAGTATATTAGTTGACCCTGACCTCCCCATTACTGTCACTCAGTATACAGAGGTGATATTGGCGGCACTCACTCTCAGTCGCGTTTGCGCATGCGCTCATGTCTCTGAGCAGGGCTGAAGGGCCACTTGGCCTTTGGAGCTGGAGGGAAAGTGACAGTACTGAGTGTTGGGGGCATTCGGCAACAGCAGAGACACAGCCTGAGCTGAGCTGTTATGGGTCTCTTCACAGGGAGAAGCACAAAGAGGCTGGACACAACAAAAGTGGCAAATGCACTGTACAGAGAGCTACATGAGCTGAGAGCCGTGTTTACCTCATTATGAAAGCTCTCATTTGCATTAGTAGCCATTTTTCGGAAGGGCAATTTTCAGTTATATGCCAGTGGGTTACTGTAATTCATCAAAAAAAAAGCGCTTTCAAAGAATTTACTTGTTATAAAGAGCTGATACTTCCATTTTGGAGTAAACTTCTGTTCTCTCCACATGTGAAGTACTTGCAGAGAAATGGAAGCTCGCTGCTTATTTGCCACTTACAAATCATTTAAACTGACACACACCACATTGAGTGCAAGACTGACAGGATTGTAATGAAAGTCTAATGACAGGCTCTTGCTACCTACTATTGAGAGCCATTTGCTTTCCCCTATGGGCCTCTGTGAAGTATTTCAGCACACTAGCGTGCACATGTAGGCCATTAGAAGTCATTTCTGTGACAGTAATCTCCAATACAATTACGAGGTTCGTGTTATTTCCGAACTATAGGGAAACTGCATTTAATTTAAGGAATCGATTAGCATTTTATGACATTGTAAGCTATTAGGTTTGCTGTGCTGGGATTAGCCAGACAGCCATGTTTTAGTTTGCACGTTACAGATCTATACAATATACACGGACCGGCCTCTTCATTAAAACCACCCCCTTGTATCTATATTTATTGTCCATTTTATCAGCTCCACAAGTGCACTTTGTAGTTCTACAATCACAGACTGTTGTCCATCTGTTTTTCTGCATACTTTGTTGGACCCTTTTACCCTGTTCTTCAATGGTCAGGATTCCAAAAATATCTAGCCAACAGCATCCTATGGGCAGCATCCTGTGGGCAGTGTCCTGCGATCACTGGTGAAGGACTAGAAGATGACCAACACAAACTGTGCAGCAACAGATGAGCTTTCATCTCTGATTTTATATCTATAAGCTGGACCAACAAGGTAGGAATGTCTAATAGAGTGGACAGTGAATGGACACAGTGTTTAAAAACTCCAGCAGCACTGCTGTGTCTGATCTACTCATACCAGCACAACACACGCTAACACGCCACCACCACGTCAGTGTCACCGCAGTGCTGAGAATGATCAACCACCCAAATAACCACCTGTGGTGGTCCTGTGGGGGTCCAGACCATTGAAGAACAGTGTGAAAGGGGGCAAACAAAGTATGCAGAGAAACAGATGGACTACAGTCTGTAACTGTAGAACTACAAAGTGCCCTTATTTGGTAAGTGGAACTGATAAAATGGTCAATGAGTGTAGAAACTGTGGCCGGTCAGTAGACAGTGCCTATAAACAGTTTTCATCCCTTGGACATTTTCAAGTTTTGTCATCGCAGAACATTGAATCACAGTGGATTTAATTTTTCTTTTTTACACTACAACAGAAAAACTCATGTTAAAGTGAAATCAGATTTTGCAAATTGATTCAAATTAATTACAACTACGAAACACAAAGTACCTGATTGCATAAGTACTTTAACCTGTGTGTAGTCAAGGGTTCCAAGTGACTGTAGTATAAATACACCTGTATCTGGATGGTCTGACTTCTGGAGAGTCAGTATCATGACATAACCTACACCACAAACAGAAAAGAACACGGCAAGCAACTCTGTGACTAGGTGAATGAAAAGCACAAGTCAGGGGACACAAGAACTTCACTGAATATCTCTTTGGAGGAGAGTTAAATTAACAGTGATGAAAACAAAGCCACTGTTAAATAAAACTCACATGACCTCTCGGCTACAGTTTGCCAGAAGGCACATGAAAGACTCTGAAGTCAGCTGGAAGAAAGAAATTTAGCTTTCTGGTTATCAGACTAAATGCTACGTTTACCATGTAAGCCAAACACTTTGCATAGTAAACACACCACCCCCATCATGAAGCATGGTGGTGGAAGTATCACACTGTGGGGATGATTCTCTGTAGCAGGTCCTAGAATCCTGTGTAGAATTAATGCAGCAAAATACAGGGAAATTCTTGAGGAAAAAATGCGGGTCAGCAAGAAACCTGAGCCTTAGGAGAAGATTTGTCTCCAGCATGACAATTACCCCAAAACCTACAGTCCAAGCTCCACAGGAATGGCTGAATAACAACAGTGTTAATGTCCTGCAGTTAGAGATCTCAATCTAACAGAGAATTCGTGGCTGGACTTGAAAAAGACACTTCACTCACAATCCCCATGCAATTTTGAACAGTTTTGCAAAGAGGAACAAGGGCAATTGCAGTGTCCAAATGTGCAAAGCTGATAGGTACCTATCTAAACAGACTCAAAGCTGCCACAGATGCATCTAATAAAAACTGACTTAACACAGGGGTGAATACTTACGCAATCAGATTCGATGTGTTATGTTTGTAAATTTAAATTGCTTTGCAGAGATCTGTTTTTACTTTAATTCAATGGTCTATGATAATAAAACACAGTCCTTATCTCTCTCTCTTTCTCTCTCTCTCTCTCTATGTATGTATATATATATATATATATATATATATATATATATATATATATGGTTATCAAAGTTATCTGCCTCAGATTTAACTGCTGCCATGTTTAAAATATTAAGTGTACTACTGCACATATATATATACATATACATATACATACAGAGGTGTGTATATATATATTTATATATATATATACATATATATATATATATATATATATATATATATATATACACACACACACACCTCTGTATGTATATGTATATGTATATGTATATATATATATATATATATATATATATATATATATATATATGTGCAGTAGTACATATAGTATATATACACAATACTGTATATCTATAGAAATATTATACAAAATGTAACAATGTAAACACAATAATTTCTCCAGGACTATAATACTGCCTCATGCATTTTTTGGTCATATTTATATATCAGAAACAAGGCACATACATGAACAGAGTTTGTGTTAGTGTTAATCAACAGGCAAATGTGGTACTCTGTGTTAAGTGTGTTAAATGTATTAAATGAATTTATCTAATAACAAGTGTTGAATTAATTCTTACTCTAAATTATTTCTGTTGAACTTAATTCTGTTTCATTTAAAGAGATTTAATTCAGTGCTAGACACTTTTCTGGCTGCATGTCTACTTATATAACAAAACAGTCCACCCACAAACTGGCACCATTTATGGTTTGCAGGTTTTCTGTGACACTTGATGGATTAATTATTTGTTGCCTTAAAGTGATGATTCTATGAAAAATCTAATGGCATAACATTACAAATAATATTAAATGCTACTTTTAGGCTAAAATGCCCCTTTAAATAATAGAGTGAGAATTAAACTTCACTGCTGGAGCAGGGAAATACTGTGTGTGCAATGCTGCAGGACCAGACATGAGTACTAAGAGTACACTTAGGCAGATGGACTAGGAACTGATGAAGGGGGGGTCACAGATCTCTCAGAGAATTTCTCTCAGGAGAGCAGTACTGACCGCAAGCCGTGGGCACGCAGCTCCTTGCTGGTCCTTAACCTCTCCAGGTCCTCCACGTCACGGAACAGGAAGAAGACATCTTTGCACTCTGGATGAGTCTCGAACAACCTGTTGCCAAGACAACACACATTTTTTTTGCTTGGCTTCCAGGAACAGAAATAAGAAATAATACATGAAGCTGAACTGCACCTCTGTGACCCCCACACTCATGTGATATTCGTCCGTATAGCTGTGCTTCGAATGTATTTTAGCTTCTTTACTTCCTCTTTATACAGTACCTTAATGTTACAGCCTATGTAACTACTAAGCATTCACTTACAACTACTTATTAGGCTCTGTTTATTTATGTATTCATCACTTTTATTTGCACTTGAAGACCCAACTGTGATCAAGGCCTCATTTACATTGGAGCCCCGCAGCATCAACATCAGCAATAACGGCATCTTACACACACAGGACCCTCAATAATAATGACTTTAAATGAGATGTAGGCCCCAAGGTCCAAAGCCTTATTGTGCTTTTCATTTGACTACAGAGAAACACTCAGCATAGAAGGAAAAAGAGAATTATCAAGTCGCAGCAGGGCTTTTCACCAAGACTGAGACATGAACAAGCCATCAAACCACTGGTATGTTTAAGAAGTATATTTCTATAGAAATGTTTTGAGTACATAATACATCGTTTGTACTTCAGTATTATAGTGGACAGGCAGTTTGAATGGGACAATTCTAGTTCCAATTATGAAACACGACTACAAAAATACACACTAAGCACACATTCCCAACCATCATAATGAAAGAATAATTACACAGACTATTTTCTCTGTTATCAAATGAAAAACAAGCTCTATATAGATGTCACAAATTGATTTTGGCACTTTAAATGTATAAACATTGACCAAAGCTGATCCTGGGCAATCCATACAGTGGTCAAACACCTCAAGTATGTGTTTAAAAGAGTTGTGATGATTTTCCTCAGGGGCACTTACTACGTCATTGACAACTAGTGATACATCGGTAATAGAACTATGACCCATGCTAACACAGACAGAGGATTATTTACGAGATGATATTTTCCGAACCTACATAGGTATTTAGCCTGGATTTAAAATATTTAAAAGAAAGCTTTGGTTTGCATTATTCAGATCTCAAGCCACAGTTTCCAGAATGTAGTGCTGCTTGACTTCTGAATTGAACTGATACGATTTTTAATACAAAAACAATCAAGGCATCAAATTCATCTGAAATACTAAAGTCCAGATTTCAATGGCAAGTCGCCATGCCTGAACAAATTGGACTTGTGTTGGCCTGTGCTACTACATTGTGATCTCATTTATGTGATGTCCAAAGGCACCTTCTAGCTCTCATTCATTACACAGGTCTGCACGATTTCTGTGGTCTACAAGGACCAAAAAAGGAATTTTCTCTCAAACAGTCTTCTCACAACAGTAGAAATATTTCCATATAAAAATTTCCACAAACTCACAGAATCGCCTAGAGTAGAAAACTAAAAAAAGAAGTAGAAAAAAAAGAGACAATACAGACAGCAGCCTTTCAAAGCCAAAAGAGACAATTGTCTTTCAATTTGTTGTATTCTGTATTTTCTATATATTTTCTGCATCCTGCGGCTGTCAAATTAGCCTATGCTAGTGCAAAGAGATATGGGCTTTCCACCTTTTTTCATCAGTTGTGAGAAAACCTGATACGATAGCAATTAACGGAAAACAATTCTGAAATCTGTACAGCAGAATTATGAAAAATCACATTACAAAATCTTCATTAAGCACTCTCCTTTTGTTGATGTGTTATTAGCAATGCTAGCCATGCTAGCACTTCTGTGTTCTAGGTGATTGACAACAGATGTTAGAAGGAACTTTTCACAAATTGAGTTACTGAAATGGATATTAGTGTATAATGTAACACACAGGGACCAGGTCATTTCTTTTGTGCAGGTAAATAACCGGATTAAGTCACCATACTAAACATAACCACATAAAATAAAGACAACAACCACATAATTTCAGCAGTGTACACAGTTTCTGATCAACGTCTCAGATGGTCTTGAAAATTAAGCAAACTGTATTAGTGGAGTTCTTGTTTTTTAATCTCTCTCTCCATCCCTCTTAAATTGGGCTGTTCTGCTGGGTTATGCCCCCAGCTAAATTTAAAGCAGTGAATTAAGCAGACTACAGAGAACAGCAAAGAAAGAAGCATGGAGGTTTCTGCACTTTCCTCTCCCTCTTGTTTTCTTTCCCAGCTCATCTTCTCTTTCTCTCTTGCTTTATCTGTCTGCAGGTCTCCGCTCGCTTGCTTCCCCGTGGAGCCTTAATGACCTTCCTTGGTCTTTCAGACAGGTGTGTGTAAGCCACAGCAGGGCAGTGTCAGATGAAACCTGGAATAGGCTCTTTCCTCGGAGAGAGAAAGGCAGCCAGCTGACATCTCGCAAGCTGCCTTCTAATTGCCATGGTTAGAATCAACTGGATGGAGTTAATGAAAGATTTCTGTGCACTTCGATTGCAGTGATGAAGTCCAGATTCTTCCAGAGGTAAGCATTATTCATCTCTGTGTCGGAGTATCATCATATGAGAAGCTCAGTGCCCCGGGGGTGACTCTCATAATAAAATTATGGTGTCATCCAGTCTGCCCCAGGAGCCTGTATGTTACAGCACCACAATAAATCACTTTAACCTATTCTGGCCTTATTGTCGCTTGTGTTAATCAAGAGGTAATTTGTTTAAAGCTTTCGTAAAAAAACACATTCATGAAACATCCACAAGCCACATTCTTGACACACAATGTGAATTTGTAAGTCTGGAGAGCCTGTCTTTAAGGAATCTTTACATAATGTAAATGTACTATACAATTTATGAGTTACTGGAGGTTCTTTAAACTTCATACCCACACATCTCATTTACAAAAATGGTTCTTCAAACAATCATCCATGCTAAGGTTATTTAGGGAACCAAAAGTGGTTATTCTCTGGCTGTGGTCACCAACCCTCTTCCTGGAGATCAGCTTTAAACATCTGGGTAATGGCCACCAAGGTACACTATGCAAAAATATCTAACATGACTACTTGTTGATGGTAAGTCCATCTTGTGTTTTCATACATCATTTAATAACTGAACTGTACACATATATTTTGAAACTGTGTTCCTATAGAAGTCATTCAGATGTCATATATTAGAACTTGCATTTTCATAATTCAAAGCCAGCATTTTGTATCTGCCTAGGTTGATTCATCAGAGCAGGATCAGCTTTTCACAAAAAAGCATCCAAGCATGAATGTGTTAGCACATCTCTCCATTTGCACCCTCTAATCACATATCTCCATTAAAGAGACACCCTGTTCGACACACAAAACTCACTCTTTACGCTTTGTCATAAAAATCTGCTATTTTTCAAATGACGTGTGACTCAGCTTTATATACCATGCCTCTAAAGTCCTTCTGCAACACAGAGTGAGTGGCAGCCGTCACAATATATTTACCTGCCTCTAAACAGATGTGTGAAGCTTGTGTACTCACTTTGTGTTCAGTGGTGAATGGAATTAACTGCTCAGGATTGGTGCCAAAAAGACTCTTCTAGCAGCACAGCGGTTAGGCATGCTGCTATTTTTAACAGAATACCACTGTTCAAAAATCAGAAGAAACAGATCTGTGGAACAACGAGGAGACACATTTCATTGTATTTTAGCACAAGTAGAGCTATCACAATTATTCTTCATAATATATTTACGTCACAACAAACAAAATGTGAACTATATTTTCATGAGTTGGACTGAGCCAAATATGTCTACATATAGGATTAAATAGTAAAAGAAAGCACAAAACTTTTTACAAATCATGTGATGGGAGCTAACAAAGAAAACAACAAATCAGTTTCTGACAGATGCAATAACACGTTTAGAGGGAAGCGCTGAGTAGCACTTTGTATCTGAGATTGAGTGTCTGTAGCCAATTGAAAGTTCTCCTCGCTTGCAGGTGAAGCCCAGAGAAAATTCACCCTTCCAGGTGAGGAGGAAGGGTCCCACTTTATATTAAGTGTCTCTAATAACTGTGTAGTTACATGTGAACAACATATGCAACAACACTGTAACTACTAATGATTTAGTCACTGTTACAGATGTAATTACACAAGTGTATCTTAATAAATGACAGCTTGATATAACAGCCCATTCTATCTCATGTAATTACATAAGTGTAATAACAAATGTAATTACATTTGTAATCAGACAAAACTAAATAAGGCAAAACTGAAGTTGATATACATGTGTAATTACATAGGCTGTACTTCTGTAATCCATCTGTAACACTGACTAAATCATCCGTAGTTACAGTGTTGTTGCATATGTTATTCATATGTAACTACACCATTATTAGAGACACTTAATATAAAGTGGGACCGGATGAAGACACCAAGAGCTATTACATGACCAATAAGTGCACCAGAATATAAACCAGAATTGTATGTTAACATGAGGATTGTTATTTAAAGAATTTGCTAATAAGGTGATGTTAGTTAGCCATGTCTCTAATGCTAACATTATTAGCATGTAGCAGTCCATTTGAATGTTGTCACCATGATCATTCCGGTCATTTCTCAAGCAGGTGGAAAACAGACTAGAACTCCAACCTTAAGTTCCGTTAGTTGGGTCAGTTCTTGTTTTAGAATGTACAGTGGAAAAGCACCCTTATCGGTCATCAGTAATGGAGATCTGGGCATCTGTGTATCATCAAAAATATTGTCTTGTCAGGTTGTATCGATTTTCCTCACATCTCTACTGGTTTCTGTTTACCATTGTCTCCATGCTACAATACAGACACAAGATTGTCTAGCAGAGAGAATCTCTGTGCTAGTAATTATTCTAGCTTTGATTTTTCACATTATTCCAAAGACCCTCCAGCCAATAGTTGGGACAGAAAGCCATTTTCTCCCAGTGTTAGCCATAGCCAGTTTCCATTGTTACAGCTCTCTCTCCAATCTGGCTGGGAGACAGCTGCAGATGCTTTTTTTACCCTCCACTGTGTGTGAAGCCTCCCGTCTTGCATCTTTTCAAACTACCCATCACGCACTCCATCACTGAGCAGCTTGCCACACTCTGAGGAG